GATGCTGCACATTGGTGGTAGTAGAGGGGAGTCCCCATTACCTGTAAAGCGCTTTGAGTGGAGTGTCCAGAAAAGCGCTATAAAAGTGTAAGCAATTATTATTATAATTATTTTTTTAATTGTGCCCAATGTCAGAGCTAAAAAGGCAACCCATATATTATAGTTGAGTAGTTTACATATGCTAAAAAGAATATAACTATAATTAAATATCTATCTTATACTTGAAATTCCAGTCAATTTTTTAGATGGTCAATGTCAGATTACAACAGATTGGGCTTCTACAAAAGATATTAGAGAGCTAGAGGGCTCTTGAGAGACTAAAAAAATATTGGTGCTCATTCAAGTGCACTTTGAACTCCATGATGTGACACTAGCCAGTTGTGACTAGGATGCCTCAATCAGTGCAGTTAGCTGAGTAGCACCAGTGGGGATATTGGCATTAGTTGGCAAGACGGTTCCAGGCCAACTAAGGCTAGGCACTTGTGCTGCTGTTGGTGAGGAACACCTGGAATGGGGCTTTGTAGTCTCCGATGTGTTAAAGCAGGGCTGGTCAGGGACTGTATTTAATCCTTCCCATGTATGGTTGCAGGGCTCATAACTGGGGGCAAAAAACTGAAATCTACAATTGGGGAGTCCAATTTGGGACTGGGTAGATAATACAAATGAAAAGTAATTAATATATTGAAAAAATCAATGATATCTACATCTGTAGTGAACAGTTTCTTAATAACACAAAAAATTAACAAATTATCTTGTTTTACCTCCCACATGGATGGGACCTTCATTGTAAGGAGGGAGTTGTAGATTTCCTCTAGCATCTCAGTCATGAGGATTTCTCCCTTCACAGCACAGCATAATGACTGCAGTGAGGAGCGTGTGACCAGCAGCAACTGGTTGAAGCAATCGATCTCTTGACGCAAGACGATAAGCAAAGTAGAGTGTACCAAAGGGTCAAAACCTTCCCAAAACACAAGACAAAGTTTTCAATAGGACATCACGTGTGTTAACTGATAGTGTTAATTGGCAAAGAAGTAGTACATAGTGAGGAATAAATTAATTAGAAGGTAAATCTCATAAACCCAGATTGTTTCTCGGTATGTGAGTGATTCATGTGTGGTTTAAAACGTTCTGAAGCATTTGAGGGCTAAGAATCAGATTTTGTATTATGAATGTCATTTGGTCTTTATTAATCTTAAGTCATTTACTTACAGTTATTAGTATGATAATGAACTAAGAAACTAAAAACATTTCATTCAAAAAGAGCAATGTCTACTGTAGCCAATCAAACTTTATAGTTAGAGAATTTACTAAATGAACATTTTTCTATTGTGTCATAGGAGTTTGCCTTTATCAGAAGTGGTGTTAGCTTCTGTCATGAGATCTCTAAGGGTAGGTATTTGTCCAGCTGCCTGTCTGGGCTGTTCCACAGTTCCTGGAAGGGTCTTCAGAATGTCAGTAGCCAATTTTAAGATGACTTCATCCTGAGTCTGCCCATCACTGTCAAGAAGAAAATGGCTTTAAGACAAAAATAGACAAGCTGAATTTTTTAAGCATTTTGCAAAAAGTTCATATGATGTTCCTAAAGTTTTTAATTACTATTCAGTGTAGTTAAATTTAGATTTGACAACCATGGGCATCCTGAGAGTTTGTGTTTAAGTCTCTTCTCTGGGAATTTCTTCTAATAGAGGGATGCAGGGCATATGCCAGAAATGGAATAGACTCCATAGAACAGCATCATCAAAAGTGCATTTACTATACTCTTTGGCTCAGCCAAAGACAGACCACAAGTGCTTGAGGTTCTTGTCTGGTGATTGCTGAGGCAATTTCAATGTACTATTGGAACAAATAACCTTCCTTTTGTTTTTACTTTATGTTCATAACACCTTTTAGTTTAGAACAATGTTTCCAATGACTATAATTGATATATTTCAGAGATTGCAATGTTACTATATGTAAAAACCACAATGTGGTTTAATTCCTTTTAATAAGACTATGTAACTATACTTTGATTTCACAATACAAAGAATAGGTGGTTCTGATCCCATGTATCGAATTACAGTAGATTTGCTTTGTACAAATAGGTTAAATGATCAATTTCCCATTTTAAGGAGGTGCATAATATTTGCATACTTGAAATGATTGATCAGAAAGCCTACCACAACACACATACCCCCACATTATTGCACATATACTTAACAGAAATTGTAGCTCTATAATCTTGTTAAAGCTATTCTTCCATCTAGATTCACTACTTATTTTGTCATATAGCTAAATCTTTCTTAGATCTTTCCTTAGATCATGGTTATTCTTCACCACTGCTGGACTATCCCAGTCACATTCAGGTAGTAACATGGACCGAACTGGAACTGGTGATATAAGGGGCATGAGGCTGTACCTGTGCATTGAGCTGGTGTCTTTATTGCTTGGCTTAGGGATCTTCCACTCAAGACACCTTGTTCATTAGTCAATTAGTCTTTGTTTAATATAGAAACCAACAAATTTCTGTTGTCCAGTACCCTCGAAACAACTCACTTTGACAGTGAAGGAAGGAAAGAGATGTCAAAGCACACCTGGCAATGAGGCTGCTATCTCCAAGTCTGGGCTGAATGCTAATGATAGTGTTGACCAAATGCTGTGCTTGGCTCTGCAGAAAGACGTTCTCTGCATTTCTGTCCATTCCAAACACCTCAGGGGCATCTTTGTCAGGCAGACTTTCAATATAGACTCTGCAGTCTGACAAGCTGGGCTCTCCAGAGATAGGCCGGTACACCTGTTTCAGAAAAAGTCAGTTGTCATTTTGTTTTTCAGTACAAATAGTTAAAAAGCCCTCAGAGGTAAATACTATTAGATTTACTGAAGATTTACTCAGTCTTTTTATTTGACAGAAATTAGTATTGGTTTTAAATCAAATATTTTATTTATTTACAATTCCTACGTTTTGTAAAGCCTACCCCATCAGAGCTGTATGTGTGGCCTTGCTGCAGGACGCTGGGTTTGTAGAAGTTGTGTAGGATGCTGAGTAGACACCGGCGATCCCAGGGATCTGTCACACGGCCACCATACACCACCTCCCCTGTGAGATACCGCAGTGTGGGCCAAGGCACGTCTGATCCTCCCACCAGTAACATCTCTAAGTTCAGTATAGACACCTACCAAAGGAGAAAGCAAGAAAAAAAGCTGTTGCAATATCACAGTGAACACAGTTTTGGAACAGTGGTCTTGAATTCATGAATGATGTGTAAAAATTCACTGGTGCTTATTTGGATGTTTTGTTTTTAATTAGAATACCTTTTTATTTTGTATATACTGGGCAGGGTTATGGACAGGTGGGTATAAATTGGCATCCTCCAGAATGCCATTGCAAACAAGAATTTCTTTGCAGTTGATGGTTAAGAAAGGAATGAAATAGCTAAATACCCAGAGATATTCCACAGAGCAGTGCAAGCAGCATACTGTAACTCTAAATGTTGTTACAGTGCTATGAAAACAAATTTTCACCCCATCTGATTTTCTGCATTGTTACGTATTTGTCACAGTGAATATTATTAGAACTTCAACCAAAGTCCAATATTAGATTAAAGGGACCCTGAGATGAATTAGTATAAAAATTTTGCGTTATTTATTTCATTTATTAAAAGAAAGTAATGCAACACCCAATGCCCTGTGTGAAAAAAGCAGATCCATATACAGTATATATCATTCTAGGGTTATTTGTGACTTCCTGGACAATTTTACACCTTGCTCTTGGAGAGGTTTTGGCAGCACGGCCAAATTTGGACAATAATGCTCCTATTGTAGTTCTGTGAAGCCCCAGAGCCTTTGAAATGGCTTTGTAACCCTTTCCAGATTGATAGACATCAACAATGGAGGTTCTCAGGAATTTAGTTTGATTATGGCATGATGTGACTCTAGATCCTGTGTGCTTCACCTTGATGGGCAGGGCTGGCCTAATTCAGGCCTTATTGTTAACCAAAGTATTCAAACAGCTGACCCTAATCATCCTTTTAAATAGGTTGATTTCGCTGCAGGGGGGGCAATAACTTTTTCTCACCTGAAGATTCCATGTTTGATTCCCTTGCATACCAAACAAATGAAAGAAACACCAAACGTTGGTGCCATTTTTTCTCTCAGGCTCTCCTCAGTATACTGTTTCAACCCATTAAAAGATTCTGACCAAAAGCACTGTGAGAAATGTACAAATATGCATAAAATCAGATTGGGGGCAAAATACTATTCACGGCGCTGAATATGCTTTTCTCACAGTTATAGCATTGCCATCATTGACCTAATTTCATTCTATTTTTCTTACTCTCCAACCATTCTAATGGCATTTTTAATTTCTTTTCTACTTTGTGTGAATCCACTTTTTAATATTATGCATATTATATAATATGCACAAGATATTTTTACAAGTTGCCCCTTTTATTTCTGAAGCATCCATTTGCATTGGTGATGGACGTTTTGGGCTACAGTACATATGATTGTACATGATTTGCTATGTCCTTTGATTTTGCATGAACATTAAATATATCTCTCTCAAAGTTCCTTCATAGACCCATAGAATCTTCCCAAAGTCACAATCCACAAAAAGAGAGCCGTAAGATACAATAGGGGCACTGAAAATATTTAATATTTCCGCTGAATTATGAAGTTTAAAAATTATGATTTAATGTACAAAAATAAGATTTAAGTTATTTACATCATTTAAATTCAGCACCTTCCTGGCATGGTGTAATATTTATATTAATTTTCTGAATGTCAATTAGCATTTCACTTCAAATATGTTAAAACATAGTGAACTACTGTAGAACAACAGTGTATAATAGTAAAAAAAAACATTCAAAAACTGTTCATGCTAATTTAGGATAGAAAACATACTGAAGATGTGCTACATACGAAATTAATTCAGATGAATGATTTACAGTGGGAAGTTTGTTTTTGTTTTTCACAAAACGAATGATCAAAAATGTCACAAGTCTAGTCCAAAGAGTGTAGACTGCTCACCTCTAGATCTGATGATGTAAATGTATAGGGAATGTTCCACCCTAAGGGGCCATACTTCTTTCTCTCCTGAACGACAGCATTAAAGAAGCACAGACTGAAGAGCAGAGTCTTCCAGACCGGGCTACAGCCAGGCATTGTGAAGGTACTCTCTGTCACTTCCGTGCTGAATGTATGAAGTAACTTTTTCTTCAGGCCCTGTGGGGGCTCAACTGCAATCTAAAAGGGAGTAATTAATTTATTCATGCTCATTTTTTGTGGTGGTGTATTTTCTGCCAAAACATACCATGTCTTACACACTGACTTTCAAAAAACAATGCTGCACCTCATCCTAAAAAGTTTAGGTGTTTATATTAGTGGACCCAAACGGATAATGTTGGAAGAAAGACAATCCTGAAATAACCTTGACTCCTCTCTGAAAGCTTGGGATTGGGCTTTATTTTTTACATTGATGCACATTTATTGTCTATTACATTATTTATCTATTTATGATTTATTAAATAATATTATTAATGGAATAGTCAGTCTACATCCAAGTCACTGTAACTGATTGTAACACTGATTTTTTCTTTGTTTTTAAAATTGTATTATTAGATGATGTTGTTATTCTCTGTTTGTAGGTATGCTATTAAACAATAAAAATGTTAACAAAAAATAATTTATTGATTATGAATAGATTTATTTAAAAAACAAACACAAACTTATATTCAAACTTATTACAGTACTGTATTTCAGCATGTCTGGTTTAAGATGAATATACACGTTATGGATATTGATTAAATGACTCAGTGTCATTTAGATTCCTCTTCTCATCTCCCTGTCTGTGGACTAGCACTGGTAACTGCTGGACCTTAAAATTACATATAAAACTTTGTTCTTGATTTGGACCAATTTTCACGCTAAGCTTTCCTATTGTGTCTGTTCACACAATTGTCAGGTCACCTTCTATGAAATTGATTGTAATTTCTTGATAATTCATTGTTATTTGTTGCAATTGTAAGTTTATGATACTCAAAACTAATGTACCAGCAAAAATCTAATTATTTCTGTAAGTGGCACAATTTGAAGAATAGGTTTGGCATGAATTAATGGAAAATGTGTAATTAATAAAATATAATTGCCAAACATCGTTAATGAAATTATAACCTAAGATGTCAATAAGAAACATTTTAAACTTGGATATGAAGTTGAGAGGTGCTGACAAATGTGCTACCGCTTATTTCTTTTTTTATGTATTATAATGTAAACCTAATGCAAACTATAAGAGTAATACATTTTATTTATATTGTGCTTTCCATCCTCAAGAATCCCAAATAGTTTTTCATATATGAGGAAATCCACTTCATCCACTACTCAAGTTCAGAAGCCACTTAAATGATTTATGGCATTGGTAATGTGCCATCATGCCCAAATCACAGCAGATCAGATGGAAATCCCAGATAACTATGTAATCAGGGCTTCAGTATAATGTCTCAACCAAAGGACTATGCCGTACATAAGTCTGACCTTAATTTACTCTGCAGCTAATAGAAAATCCAGGTTCCTATCTAAATGATGTGTATCCTGTGTTGGGTTATAAAGCATATAAATTAAATAATTAAGGTATATGTGATGTATTTTGTTATACTACTACTGTTATACTATTTAAAAAGATGATAAAAATATATTTTCATTTGTGAGTTTACCTTGATCCCTTTTTGCAAAATAGAGGCAGGAAATATGGAGTCTGGTTTAGAGGATAACCAAAGCCGAAACTGAGGATCAATATTGGTACCCTTATATTTCAACCTGAAAAGACAAAGAATTTAGTTCTGTAAGAGACTTGAATTAAAGGCAGACAGAAGCTCTGGAGCTGAAATCACGAAAAGGGTGTGAGTGAAATGATTTTGGTTGTTCAAAAAGAGACGTTTTTGTTTATTAATTGTTGTAGTGTTAAAACAGCTAGGAACACTGGACACTTATGAGCTAATCACAAACCTTGAGCAATCCATGGAGTAAAGAGCTCATTTTGTATCAGCTTGAACTGGATTTTCCTAGATGTAAAGGGTGCTTCACATGCTGTCTAAATAAAAAGGCCTATGTTATGAAGTTTGGAAGAGTAATGTGCAGTACTCACGAGTTGATGATGGACTGGAGCCTGGGCATGAAAGATGCGGCCAGATGGCAGTTCTGCAGGAAGACCCAGCGTCCCTTGAGGACCTGTGCCTTGTTGATAAGCTCCTTGGCCCTGGGACCCTGGCCCTGCCCCAAGGAGACCATGTCCAGATGCAGTGTTCCACCACGCACCTCCTGGGCCAACCGTGCTAGTTGTGAAGCTGGATCCATTCCTGCAGCAAGACATGAACGAACAAGGGCTATTTCATTACACTGAAGCATCTAAATTACCACTCATCCTCAAATCTCCCTGAGTAACATAAGGCCACCTAGTCATGCTGGCCAGTACAGTATTTACCAATATTTTCCCGTTCTTCACCGTTTCACTTTCAGTCCTTTTTGGATGATTCTGCAGCAAATTGTTTTATTTTTCCTATGGTTTGCTAGGCTAGCTAAGCTTCTGCTAGTTAAATTCACGGACAATGCATTTAGTGTTGGTGTTCATATATATCGGATCAATACTTCATTGGCATTCTTTTTCTTCCTTAGTTCTAAATTTAAGTATTTATACTGTATATTCCGATTTCACAAGAATAAAATAATATCATCCTTACTTGTTTTTCATTTGATTTAAAAATGTGATTTAATACAATAATATGTACTGGTACTAGCCAATCGATATTTGTAATAGCAAAGGATATTGCTATTAGAACTGCTCTACTTAAGTAGTGAAAGGGGTTCACAAAAACATTTTAACTGCCTGAACTTTAAATGGAACCCAGAAAGTGATCTGAAACCTCCAGGCAACATGGTTTTGACCTGGAAATGTTTGAGGGTGGTGCCTTGTTACTGACTAGCCAATATAGCCAAGTATAGTATGCAATAATTGTTGATCTATGGCTTTTCATTTCCTGGTGGGGAGTTGGTTACATCATTTATGCATGTAAACTGATTTTCATCTTTTCGGTTCATCTCAGTTTTGAGAGTGTGAATGTTGCAATATGTATGTTTGCAACTGCAGGCCCTGTGCTATGGGAAACAAAAGCAGTGTGAAACCATATTTCACATATACTGCACTTCTTACATACAGTATAATCATTCCACAGCTATAGATTCAATGCAAGTGCAAATGTGTTTGTATTTAAAATGAAAATGTTCACTAAATTTCTCATTTCTAATCAACACTGTTACATAACTTTACTATTTTACAGTAGTATTAATTTACTTCTACCTCAATCCTCAAAACAGCAGAAAAATACTGTGCTTGCACACGTATTTGAAAACATTAATATTTTATTAATATAAATAATATATATTTCTTCTTCAGTTTACTGTGTGACAGTGACGGACGTTATTGTTTTAGTTACTGTGGTTAACCTCCCATAAAGTCAAGTGGAACTGACAAGTGTTTCTCTTACCCGGAGACAGAAGAAATACGAGAGGTGTGATTGCATTAGATTTTTCATACACCTCTCTCAAGGTCATCTTCCCACTCTGTAGGTATTTAGAGCCAATCTTCTCTGAAACAAAGTCTTTTACTGCTGCTGTCAAACTTTCTGGCTTTAGAATTTTAATCTAAGATAAAAAGTATGAGAAGAGAATACAAGACAGATCTGCATTTATAAATTAACTGAAATTCCTTTGTCACTGAATGTATGTTTAACCTTTGTTAATAGGTTGAAAGATTCAAGTCATTTAATTTTAATGGGTTGAAAGATTCAAATTATTAAAATACAATATTTATAAAACTAAAGGCATGTAGCCTGTCTCTGCAACTTAAAATCCATCGCTACATTGGGTGGTTACTTTTTCATAAAATGGTAATGTCATACCTTTAGTTCACACTGTATGTTTGACTTTACAAAATGGGTAATGTTTATAAATGTATAAATATAAATGTTCAATTATAAATGTAATGTTTTTTTTCACAATTTCTGTTCTCTGCGAACAGTTTACAACAGGTTAAAAACAGTTATATTAAAACTGACCCTAAAAAAATGAACTTAATAATAACAGAATTTCTGGTTGTGTGATCTCCTGAATAAATTCAGGTTCTTCAGCAACTATTATTATGCCACTCCAGTCTGACAAGGCTAAAAGAAGGCTTACAGTAAAAATATAAATATTTTCAGTTTTGTAGATTTTAAGTGACATGTTTACATGGTTCTTTTTCTAATGATCTCTTCAGAGATGTCATTAAAAATTGAGCACAATTGTGACTTTCCATCTATTTTTTGTTCTAACATACTGTATATATATATACTTCCAAAAGTGTTATACCTATTCTTTGATAAGACATACTGTACTTTGGAAAAAAATAATCTTGAGACTGCTCATAGTAGAAAATGGTTTTGTAGATTGTGGTTGTTGAGATAGATCCTAAAGAATGCAATAGAGGAATGAAATATGGTCTGTATATTTGGTCTGTCATGCCTATCTGTGGGAATAGCAGCCAAACTGTGAGGTGAACAGAAGTACGTGAGATTAGGAATCTAACCTTCCTTCCAAAGTCCACTTAATTTCCAAAATGAGACATTACAGAAATAACCAGAACGTACATTTGTATCTGAATTTACATAAATTTAATAAACTTTTAGGACTCTTCTCTGTTTCCAGAAAGAGCCACAGTACCATGAGAAGGATTTTTAAGAATGTAACTTTATGTATATTAAACCTAGTTACACTTAAACGATTCATTGTAAGAGAATGAAAAAACGTAAGAAAATGTTTGAAACCCAAACTTGAGAATTGAAATGTTTTTTTAAATAAGTGAAGTGAAGTGAATGTAGACTCTTGCAAATCAGAACTAACCAGAATGAGTTTTTGAAATCCAGTGAGGGTCTCCCAGGGAAAAACAGTGCCACACAGATTCTGACTCTCCTCAGACTCCTCATGACCAGGTACTTGTACATAATTACCTGGCACTATCTGAATTGCTACTGAAGCTGCTGAGTTAAAAGAAAGTTAAAACAAATATGAGCAATCTCTGTATTATATTGTTATGGAGTCTATGCATTTTAATTTGTGCTGATTAATTATATCACATTCTAAAAAAAGAAAAAAACATTGGTTAATCTCTGTCTAGTACCAAAGTAAATAAAAAAAGCAAAGGGTTGGATTTTAAAAAGTTAAAGTACATGTAAGGAAATAGATTTTCAGTGAGTGTTATCTGCATGGTTCTTTAAAGTTTGTGTCATTTATTTGTGATAACATGTATTTTGTAAATGCTAAGCAGAATTACACAATGAACCCACTACAAGTAGGTTTATACTACGTGGTTTCATACAAACCACAAATATATTTAAAATCTTAATGCCCTTTTGGGCAAATTGATTTTTTTCTTTAATGTAATTTTGATGTAAATCTATTCTGAGTATATTTTATTATATTCAAATGCCATACTCTCACCTACAAACTGCCAGTTTTAATATTAACCTGTGCCTCAGAAAATGGAATGGAAAGGACTACAGGCTGAGTCAGTGAGCCAATATCGGGAAGAGAGATTTATGTGTTATGGTAAGAAAAAGATTTAAAATTTCAGACAGCTTCATCTAGTATGATCGCAATTTTGAAGCTCATGACTAAAGAATTAACATAAAACTCACTTGGTTGAGAAGTGCTATTGTTAGTATAGGAATTGCTCAGAAACCGATACAGATTGCCGGCTTTTAAGAAAGACGTCCATTGATGCTTATTACTTAAGAGAGATTCACAAAGAGAGGTGAATGCTTGGAGCTGACCACTGATGTACTGACACTGCTTCCACATGCTATCTGTAAGCCAGGCACCAGGGGCACAGACCTTGAAATCCATACCTAAAGATAAAAAAGACAGTCACAGTAGTAGCTAATATGGCATTATTTTACTCAAGCAACCTTAATATTACATTTCATCCAACTTTTTTTGTAACCACTTTATCCAATTCAGGGTCATGGATAGCTGAAGCCTATCTCAGCAAGCAACAGATGTAAGTCAAGATACAGCCTGGATGGGACACCAGCCCATTGCAGTAACGTAACATTCATTTTCGACATATTTGCATTTATAAAACAATTATGTTAAGTGTTGTTCCAAAGGATTTCTAACACTTTAGTGTAAGGTTAGTTGTGAATTTATAGCTGTTGGACTGCCAACAGTATTTTTTAAATAAGAATAAAATAATTAAAGTTGAAAAAAATTGATGTTAATGTTAGCATTTGCTGTCTGCCAAAATCCAGTAAGCATGATCTTATTCTGAAAACGAAAAGCTTCTAAGCAGCTCATCCAGTAAAAAAACATTATTTGCCCTATAGCCTGGTTGAAATCTAAGCTGTGCTAACCCCTGTGGTCATTTCAAAGACAACATTGTGCACCTTTATCTATTCTGTGTTATGTTGTACTAATTAGGAAAGTTGTTACAGCTACAGAAACTGTGAAAGATATTAGGGGAGGTTACTAAGAAAACGTTCTCACAATTCCAAAATATCTTTAGAAAAGTTTAGTGATTATTGTACACTGGTTATATTAATAATTTAGTATTATCACTAAAACACAAGATGGATTTATCTTTTACATTTTTAAATTCCAAAGTTTGTAATAGCATTTTTTGTGCTTTGGAGATAAATGGTATTGTAAATATTCATAAAAGTAGTTTAGGGTATTATGTTTTGGTTATTAGTATTTTTATTGTTTTTAATTACTTTTTCAAAATGTATTACCTATAATTACTATTACTAACATTTTCTAAAACTTTTTTCCAACTGTAATTACTAACCTTGAGCACCAGGTGTCAGAAGCATACTATGGTTAAGACAGTTCAGCATACTTGCAAAGGTGATAAGTAAAAAAGGTTTTGAAGGTAAAACCATAATTTCAAAAGCCAAAACTGTCGCAGAAAAACAACTACTTTAATTGCAAATCATCTTAATGCAGAAAAACTTACTGTTATGAATAATAACACAACTGTAAATTATCCAACTATTAGGATTATAAAAATGTTCAGTTTTATAATTTATATGCTTTGACTCATGCTGTCTGCAAATGCAACTTTATGTTATTTTATTCCAAAGTAATCCAATCAGCTTTATTTAAGGGGTTATTTGCAAGTATTATAAAGAATCAATTGCTGGTCCACCTTACCATTACTGTGTCCCATTTGTTTTGGAGTATCCATCATGTCTGCTAGGACAGCTGAATGTAAGAAAATCTTCCATTCATTCTCTGGCAGATATTCCAGGCTCTCCACCAGCTTGGTGTCATTGTGATTTGTCCGCATGATGTTGGAACACATCATGAAAGAGAAACAGAGCTGGTGATCTGCAAACAGTGCAAGAGACACCTCCTGTGCAAAAAAAAACCAACAACACATCATCGTACTTTAGCCTTGCATATCATGTGCACTTCCTTGTTCATTTCTTAGACTTTCTGAGAAATATAGTCTTTTCAGGCTTTTCCGTGCACCAGACATTACACCCTATCTTCTTGATCATTGACGATTTCATGGTACTGTATAGAAGATTAGAGGTGTTATCTTGCCTAAATGACACTTTTAGCTGGCATAGTTTGGCTTCCCTAATTTCTCACTCAATTCAATTGGCATTAATTTTTCACTCCTCCAATTGATCCCTTTTGTATTGCAGCTGCAGGCGCATAACGTCTGCTATACAGTTGTGTGCTACATTTCAGAGGTGGATGAAGAAGGTCCCCTTTTTGCCCTGCCATGCACTTGTTGCTTGCTGGGTAGGCTTCGGCTTCCCAAGACTCTGTATGGTATAATATGGTTTGGCAAATTACATGACACGTCTCTTCTGAAAATATAAGACTTGCAAGCAAAAATAATTGCACCAAAACTTTGAGAATGTGCTCTTGGGAGTTTCTAAAAAGGAGATTTGCAGTCAAAGGAGATTGTGAATATGACTGTCCAGATTACCCACTGATAATCTGAGTATATTTGAGTATTCACTTACAGTACTATCCTCAGTATAAATGAATTATGTTTTTTCTTTAAAGAAGATATCTTCTGAAATCTTTAAAGTTTACCTTGTATATATTTTCAGTTAATGTGTCGATCATCATCAAGAGCTGTAGATTTAGGTCCTTGCTATTAGACATTCTTCTCTCAGACTGGATTGCTGGTTTCCTCATGTTCTGGGCATTGAGAGGGCGCAGGGTGCCAGATACTGGCTCTGAGGGGTCATGGATAAGACACTCTTGACCTTGGGTAGCATCCTGGATTGCTTTTATGAACATTTCATTGAACCAGTCCAAAGAAAACTGATACATGTAATTGATCTGAATCAAATCTGCTAACAAAAAGTAAAGAATTGCCCCCCTCTTGGCTACAGGAAGGTACTTTTTCCGTGCCTTATCTATTTCCTTCTCTGTTTCTTCTGCAATTTGTATCCGATTTAAAATTTCCTTTGATGTGACTTTTGAGTTCTGCAGATTATCAATCAGGTCCTGGTCATCTAGGATGTGTCCTGAAAAAGTAGAGGCTTATACTTCATATTGTTATCTATTAATTCATTGTACTTTTATTGTTATTTTTTCTTAGAGCTGATGTTTCTTGTGCTAATTATTTATTTGTAGTTTTTCAGCATTCTAGGAAGTTGATATAACCATTATTTTGCAAATACTTGAAGTTTTCATTCATATAATTAATTCATAACAAATAATACATGTACATGCAGGATTCATAGAGAATAAAAAATAGTGTAGTTCGTATAAAATTTTAATTATTGGCATTTTATTATGTATAGTTCAAGTTTTTAAGGTTGCAGTTAAAAATTTGTTCATGATTTTGTTTTAGAAGTACTAAATTGACCTTAAAATATACTTGGGTTATATGACAGTACTTGATACCCATGGAGATAACTGCTGTTATTATAAAGCCACTCTCTCAGCCAGCTTTCTGAGTCTTTACCTTCTGTCCTCTGCAATAGGAGCAGAGACCTGTTCTCCAGCTCATGCAGAAGGAAAAGGTCAGCGGTGATGGTCTGAAGGAGCTGGCAGTGCTGCTGCTCTAGCTCAGGACTCTGCAGGGAGACCACACTGGAAAGGAGCTGCTCCTGCAGACCTTCGAATGCCACTGAGAAGTTAATGAGCTTGACGATAATGCACACAGCAGGCAGGAAATGAGGATTTGGCACCTGAGTGGTCAGATATAGCCTGTGACATAAAAAGAGATGCACCAACTTTACAATTCCTGTAATTTCTGAAGATGTGCACAGATAAAAATGATATAAAAGACGCTAAAAGGGATTATGAGAATATATACATGGTTTTACATATTAAGACATACCTGACTCACCTAGTCCCTACCTAATCCTAACAGCAGATAAATCTAACCTAATATGACAAATAACACACAAAATTTACTTTATTATTTGTTAATCAAAAAATCAGCCAACATTCAGAAGCCTTATGTGCAAGAGTAAGTGTACCCTTACTGTCTCCATATCAGTTAAGAAGGTAATTAGAATCAGGTGCTGCTAAACATGTGCACATAATTACAGTAGTTGATCATCAGGAAGTGCTTTCCACCTATATATAAAATCAGAAACTTTGTCAGTTTGGTCTGGAGCATTCACGCCTAGGTCAAAAGATATACAGTATACAGATAAAGATATACAGAGTAAGAGCTGTTGCTGCTCCTCAGTATGGGAAGTGTTATAAAGCCATTTTAAAACAATATTAAGTCGTCCATCCTTACAAAGTGAGAAGGATATTTTACAAATGGAGAAAGTTCAAGATGGTTGCCAATCTACCCAGAAGTGGGGCGTCCCAGCAAATTCACCCCCTGATCAGACTGTATGATGCTCCTAGAAATTGCAAAGAACCATAAAGCTACGTTGAGGGATCTACAGGACTCTGTTAATAGGGTTCATGAGAAAAGACTAAACAAGAACATTGCTGCAGGACTTAGGTTTACAAATCAGCACCCAAATGAACCATGAGACTTCTGGAACAATGGCCTCTGGACTGATGAGACCAAAGTGGAGTTGCTTGGACATATTGTAATGCAAAACATGTTTAGCGAAAAGCAAACACTACGTATCACCACAAGTACCTCATACCAACTGTGAAGCATGGTGCTGGAGGGGTAATGATTTGGGCCTGCTTTGCAGCCAGAGGACTTGGACACCTCACAATAATTGAGTCCGCCATGAATTAATCTGTATACCAGTGCGTTCTAGAGGAAAATGTGAGACCATCTGTCTAACGTAAAGCCTAGCCGAAAGTGGATAATGCAACAGGACAATGTTCCAAACACACCAGTTAATCTATAACTCAATGAATGAAAAAGAAAAGAATCAGGATTTTGAAAAGGCCAACTCAAAATCCAGGCCTCAACCTCATTGAGGTGCTGTGGTGGGACCTAAAGAGAGCTGTGTATAAACAAATTTCCTCAAACTTCACTGAGCTGAAGCAATTAATTACTTGGGATTAAATGTGCATTCACTTGAGTTAATCCACTAAAATATTTTATTCATAATTTGATTTTTAACAGTTCTATAACAATGTTATATATTTATTAGATAAAATATTATAATACATTAACAGCTGTATTTTTCTGTAGAAAAATAACATCTGGAAAAGAGATAACTGTAGTCAAAGCAATAACAATAAAGTGTATCATTAAACAAGGGAAAGACAAGATATGTTGCTCAAAATCTATTTATTATATCACAGTGAAGTTCAGGGCAGTAATTAGGTTAATTACAAATTAATATTTTACACCATCCCTCATCTTAAATATGAATAATAAAAAATGGTAGTGTTCTACAGTTCTGAAATTTCTTATTTAACAAATTTGCTGATCATAGAATGTATTTCTGATATCATGTTCATATATTTATAAAGCAAATTACAAGTTGAAGAGATCTTGCAGCATGACAAATAACACGAAATGGTAATTTATACAGTACATAGCTACACCTTACTTGACCACTAACCAAACTGTTATATTCATCTTGCTGATTATAAATGTTGTAACATAAGCCAGTAGGATGCGCAGCCCAGATGTGTTAGTTAAATTTGACCTTAGTTTGCTTAACAACATTTTATTATTCTGTCAAAAAACTATTAATTTTCAGCAGACTATTGCTTTAATGCAGGTGTTATGTATAGTAGGCGACTGAGAGCTCTGCTGTGACAAACAACAAAACAAAAAAAAACTTTGCTGTAAAAAAAAACAAACAATAAAAACTTTTGCTTTTGGATTACCTGAAACTGTGGTTGTACTCAATTTCAGTGTCTCCGATCTTAATAAAGTCTTGTCCTCCTCGTGATATTATGTTCTTCATTAGCACTGGTTGAAGACCAGTGTCAAATACTTCACCTATATCCTTGGAAAACAAAGGAGAGAAACATATGCTCTATTATGACATTCTATTGTTATTTTGATCTCCAAACTAGCTCCTTAAATTAGTTTATTGGTATTGTATCTAAAACTCTGGAAGCCTGAAGGTAGATTTTTGATTATTATGTTAGAAAGTGTGTAAATAATTCACAAATCATTTGGTCAAATGGTACTTATCCGAGATGGAAATTCATCATTGTCAGCCTGTTCAATGACAGATTCCACTTCTAGTCGTATTCAAACTCACATCCAGTTTTAGCAAATGACATATCCACTGCAATCAGATTCAATGGGTTGACCTGTCTTTTTATGATGAAACAATGTTTAAATCCTGATAGTCAGGTTCATGCTCTCTGAAGGCAAATCCAATTCACAGGGACATGTAAGCTTATTTAATCAAATGTCATTGACCATATTTGAAGGTAGGGAGCCTAGAACAAGTTACTCAGCCATGTTGAAACAGGCATCAGATCAATTAGCTACAATCACACAACACAAATGAACTAGATGGGCTGGTATTTAAGATCTGAAGTTTAATTAGGACAATGAAGTGTCAGTGCATTATGGTCAGTGCATTTGCACATTGCACATATTTTTTAAATTAAATCAAAATGTCCTCTACTTACTATAGTATCCACAACAAAATAATATTTGCATGGTATTGTAAAAATTAAATATTAAAACAATCATTTTGGAATAGTGGCGATAGGCTTAATTATTCTTCTACCGTATTTAGTACACTCAATTGATAAGACTGCAGCACATAATTCATAAAAAAAAATTTAAATAAACAATTCAGGATAAATTAAACCCTTTTGTACAGGTGCTTGGATGACTGGATGTTTTTTGCTGTTTCTTCATCACAACAGTTTAGAAAGTGTGGCTGAAGCAGTCTATTGTAAGTTATGCAATAAGCAGTACGGCCTTTTAAGATTTATGAAATAACACATTATACTCAGCTTAGTAAGTTTTTACTCATTTTTACACATTATACTCAGCTTTAATTTTTTTTTTATACTTAAAACTGTAGTATTCTTGCTTCTTCCCCCAGGTATGTTGCTAGTGACCTGTGTAGAATTTGCATAATGCTCAAGAGAAAATGGAATATTCCATTTCCTGTGAGGTTGTATAGAGTGGAAAGTGCTTTCATTTGAAATGGTGAAGTTCAAAACATATTTATATGTTTTTTCATTGTGTTCAAAGATTAAAACTCAGTTTTTATGGTTTTTGTTGCACCTTTTTTGCCACCGTGATGGGAAGCAATATTAAGTCCAACTAACAAATTACCTTACCTGTATAAGAACAGGTTCACCTAATTGAATTGCATTCTCTACAGTTTTCATGTAGTTGGAGTCAGAAGCAAATACTTTTCGCAGCTTGTCTCCCTCAGTGCAGCAGATCCATTTTTTGGCTTGGCCTTGAGGATCAATAAGGAGGGGCCAGCGGGTCCCATTCTGCATTATGATAGCATTCTCTGTGGAGTTCTGGTCAGGAGGTAATCCTTTGTTCTGCCAGTCTCTAACCTGATTATAACAATGACAACAGAGACAATGACTTCTAAATTGTGATACTTCAATGACAACTTTAAACAGAGGAGCAAGGCATTCTTAAAATTGTGAAACTGAATTAAAAACCATTAGGCAAGATAGTTATCTTTTAGTGTATCACGTGGAATGGAAAGCCTGTGCAAGATTGATCTGAGATATTGTTTATGTCCCTGGGAAAAAAACAAGTTTTCAAATGATTAGCCATAGTGTCAGCATTTTGATTTCTCATTAGAGGGTTTCATATATTTACTGTATACTGCTTATTTTCAAGGTTTTTATCTTGAACACTAAAAGCAAATGTACAGTGTAATACCAAGCGTCTCAAAACTTGCACTGAAGCACATAGAAGAACAGATCCTAATTCCCATGTGTGTTATTATATAATGCAAATACATTAATGTTAAACGGCATAGATTAACCTTTGTGAATTCATATAAACAATGCAGTCAAAGGTGTAGTTCAACATTAATATTCATTTCCTATTTTGCAGTATCAGAACTACTGCAGAATATACAGTACATTGAATAAATTTAACTTCTAAAGCTTCCCTTTACAGAACCACCAATACCAGTACTAGAATGATAAGCGGTGTCAATTAATTTGACTGTTGTCCCTTAAATGACACAAGGAACCTTTTGCATGCATACAATCATACTTTACTTGTGCAGGCCATGGAAAACCTGGAATTTTAGGGGCAAAAGTAAAATGTTAAAGCAATGATACATTGCTACTGTACATTATGCATTTATTTAATCTTTCCTTGAACCTTGTTCTTGTCCTCGCATGCAAATGAATTCTGCCAAAGCAGGGAGGCCTAAAAGTGACAAGCCATGGGCAGTTAGTCTTCCTTTCTGTCATCAAAAACCAAACAGGAGGTACAGACAAGGATAGATAAGACAGTCTATTATGCACAGTAACAAGACATTGCCTTTAAGTCAAATATTTTCAAGAAAGTTCCCGTGTGGGTGACCCCTTGATTATCACACCAGTTTAGCTGCTCACAGTGAATTTATACTTTTAGTATTCTCACGCTGCAATTTCCTACCACCTATCAATGCAATGCTGATTAGGTTAAACTGTGCCCTGTGTTTGTGTGTTTGCAATGGACCAGTGTACTGGCAAGGCAGTCCTACCATACCTCCAATGCTACCCAGCTCTGGGTTGCCTAAAGCCTAAGCAGGAATAGGCAGCTTTCTGATAGGGACTCAGAATCAACATTGAGTTTTCTTGCATCCTAATCAATGAAATTAGGTGGTAAACTAAGAACTTTACCAAGCTGCAATTTGAAATATATTAGGTTGTAATGTCTTGGTATGTTCCAGATTTCATTTTCATGCCCCACTGCCAACTTCAACAATCTATTGTCTTAGTACATACAGATACCTTCAGTACGTACCACAACTTATGATGTGCATGCATGCAGTGTCTGTGGACTTACTGAAAGGTCCACATCGAAACACTAGCTGGATGGTGAAAAACAGTAAGGCAAAAGTAATCTCAGAACTAGTTAAAAATAGTGCTCATTCACAAATATTGGCTCCTCCGTCCTTGAATGTTTTAACTGCTGATTTAACAGTATGAATCCATTAATCCATTAATCTATTAAGCCAGCAGCCATATCACCCTGCAACTCACAACTGGCAACCCACTGAAGCTAAGCAGGTCTGAGCCTGGTCAGTACCTGGATGGGAGACCTCCTGGGAAAATCTAAGGTTGCTGTTGGAAGAAGTGTTAGTGGGGCCAGCAGGGGGTTCTAATGCCCCAGTATAGTGATGGGGACACTATACTGTAAACAGGTGCCGTCCTTTGGATGAGACGTAAAACTGAGGTCCTGACTCTCTGCGGTCATTAAAAATCCCAGGGCGTTTCTCGAAAAGAGTAGGGGTGTAACCTCCTGGCTAAATTTCCCATTGGCCCTTACCCTTACCAATCATATCCCCATCTATCAATTGGCTTCATTACTCTGCTCTCCTCCCCACCTATATCTGATGTGTGGTGAGCGTTCTGGCGCACTATGGCTGCCGTCGCATCATCCAGGTGGATGCTGCACATTGGTGGTGGTGGAGGGGAGTCCCCATTACCTGTAAAGCGCTATATAAGTGTAAGCAATAATAATTATAATTAATTAATTATGAAGGGGGCACGTTAGCAGTGGTTATCATTGCCACCTCGTTGCACTGGGGACCTGTGTTCAATTCTGGCCCTGGGGTGCTACAGTATCTGCATGGCGTTTGTATGTTTTCCACCTGCACCAGATTTCCCCTTTAACACACTATGCAGAAAGCTACCTGATTTTTCTCAGCCATGGCTGTTGTAAGTGTATATTTAGGAGACACAGGTATAGCCACTGCAGTGCAGAATCCTAGCCACTTTTCCACCATCGTCCTGCGATACCCTGCAGTGAAGGCTCCACAGTATGTCACACATGCAGCTGAGACCATGACATCACCAACTATGTCCTGCAGCTTATTCTCCAGCTCACTGACAGAGTCCTTCCAGCGATCCTGAAAAACAAATTATTGTTAAGCACGTCTTTCTTATTATTTTAAATACCTCATTACCTTTGATTAAAGCATCCCATGTTTTTCTGTATTATTTTGATATTTTGGTTTTTCCAGGTCAGGCCAGAAATTTAATTTTTTTTCATTATTCTCATGCATTTTACAATTTACAAAGAGAATGTATTATGTTTTTTAAAAGTTGATTAAAGAAGTCCCTCCCAAAATGAAAATATTCCTTCAGTCATATCTTCTTTCAAGTCCAGATTGGCCAGTATCACACATGTTTAGAATGTACAGTAGGTTCTGAATCATTGATAAATGCGTATGAATTATTTATGGCAGCTAAACCTGCTACCTAACAGCTCTTGGGTCCTGGGCTCACTATCAACCTGGGGTTGCTACTACTGTATGTGGCGATTACAAGTTCCCCCTGTTTTGACTCATTTTCGGCGTGTTCTGGTGTCCTCCCACCTTTTAAAATGTGCTCATTAAGTAAACTGATGTTTCTAAATTGTTTGTGTGTTTGTGTGTGCTCTGCAACAGACTGCTATCTCATCCTGCCTGCGGTATTGTCTTGTGTCCTTCACTGTAGAGGTGAGCTGTGGGATTACTGCTACTGTTGTCAGAAATTTACAACTTGTAAAAAACTTCATCTTAGCTGACTAACATAAGGTGTAATACTTGCTGTACGAGGCAGACAGGAAAATGTGTATGGAAACTAATATTACTATTATTAAATAATAGAATGTTTTTTTAGGTGAGATGACACCTTATTGATCAGTCACACCAAAAATGTTCTGTGTTTTGTTGTTTGCAAAGTTTTTAAATCTACAAAAAAAAACACCCACTCCATTTTATGCAGAAATTGTATTAAACCTCACACTGTTTTAAAGAAAATAAAAAATATAGCATATTTAAAAGGGCTTATTGTATTGTTTTGCATTTTTTACAGTATATCTTAAACTCTAAATAACATTTTCAATTATTAATTTGTATGACTCATGGCTTTACCTTTTCATCTGCGAGTGCAGAAACTAAAATGGAGGCCCTTTGCAACCGTAGTGTGGTTAGTGCTTTTCTTTTCCCCAGCTCTTCCTTTTCAGTGACACTTGCATTGTAGTTCTGTTCTACAGAAAGACGGTGCTCCTCAATCTGTAAAACAGTACAGTCAACAATGAAAGAAATGAAAGGCACATATACTGCTGACAAAGAGTCTCCCAAAGCTCTGGCCTTTATTGTGTTAGTTTGTTTGAAGTGTTGCACAAGAAAGAATCTTTGTTCTGTCAAACACCTCAATGATTTCAATCCAAAATGACAACTGCTAGCAGATGACAGGGTGGAGACAGAGAGGCAGGGGAATGTAGTGTTTTGTTAAGTTATTTTTTAAATTGAACTTGATGAATATCACTGGGAGATTTCTTGTAGATACAGTATATATCATTTACTGTTTAGTAGTACTTTAGATTATATATAGAATTATATAGAAAACTAAGAAAAGGCTCAGTGCCTTCAAAAAGCAATAACACTGAAATGTGTAGCTTTTGGAGTCCTGAGCAAGTGCTACAGTATGTCATGTTACTGAGCCGAGGAAACTTACAGTTTACCCTACAGCCAGTCTAAAATATTGCCTACCAATCATCATGAGGTTCAAAATATAGTGATGCAAGGCTCTAAACATATCTGTTCCAGGGGAGATATTCTTGTCAATTAAAAAAAAACAATGGCCTACTTTAGATTAGGAATTGGATCTTTTGATCTTATCCTTGAATATCATAGGATTTAAAAATCATGAAGCTGACTCAATGAAGCAAATTGTATAGTTTTTGGTATAATAAAAACTCAAACACATTCTAGGATCATGTTTAAAGTTCAGTATTGTAGGGAATGTCTCCTTCCCTAAGACAATAAATTATTTGTTTCCTTTTACTGTAAAAAGGGGAATATTTGCATGTTATATTCCCATCACGATTACCACACATACGGTTAATGTTATGGCAGGCACTGAAGCAAGCTGTTCTAACAAGGAAACCCTCAAATGTCACCATCTGAAAGCAACACTATAAGGAAAAATCCAAGGTCCAAAACTCACTGATGTGAGTGACTGACAAACGATTACAGGAAATATGCTGTTGAAGTCATTGCTACAGTACTACCAGTTACCGAAGCTAGGGGTTTGCATACTTATTCAACTCTGTTATTTACTGCTTGATCATTTTGTTAATTAAATAATGCAGATATATCTTATGTCCTTGAGTTATATATATAATCAGGTTATCTTCATTTTCATTAAGACTTTCATGAAGATTTAATTACATTTTAGGCCTGAGAACGAATGAAAACGCTGACCAACCTACAGTATGGGCTTCACAAACTTTTCTGGTTAGCCTTCAATCTTACCTTTGCCAGATTTTTCTGTTTTTCTTTTAGCTTCCGTTGGGCTTTTGCAAGTGCTTCTTGTGCCACTTCAACCTTTTTCTGTTTTGGATCAATCATCTACAAGAATGGAAAAGAAACACAGAACAAGTTTAAGTGCTCTTTAGTTGTTCTGTTAATTTGGTCTCCTGTTAAGGTAAACTTCTGAAAGAACAGAATAAAATAGCTGTTTAGCTGGAACAACAGCTAAAATGTTACAAATTGACATACAGTTTAGAAAATACCACATTAAATTTAGAAAAAGAACTGAGTTCATTATGCTCTAATGATTCATTAAGTTGAATCATTAGATTTTGAAAGACCAAAACAGCAATCTAGCCAAAACCATCATATTTCAGGGACTATGGTTTTGAAATTTTGCTTGTTCATTAATCACTGTGTAAATGCCCTATAGGAAGTACTTTTCTGTTTGGTTGCTGCTGTTGGACAGAGCTGTAATACTATGATTGGCTGAAGCCGAAGTGCATATCTCAGGGAGTTACCGTACATCAGGTTTTTCCAGAGAGGCAGAGAGTGGCTTTGAGAGTGTTAACTGGAAAGAGCTGGTGCAGGCAGATGGATAGTCTTGGATTGCTCCAGTGTGAGAAAGGCTGTTTTAAAGCAGCAAGAGTACTGGAGTGATAAAGCTCAGACCAGGGAAACAAGGAATAGCTGTCAGGCTGAGGTGAGGCTTCCAGTGGAAAAATACACTGGAGAGAGCTGGCAAGCTGAAGCCCTGGAAAAGACAGCTGTGAAAAAACGGAATGGCTAGTGAAGGAAAATAGAATGAAGTGGCAGACATGGAAAAAAATATACTTCTGCTGATTCGATGTTCCTGAAAAGTTAGTGGAGAATTATTCAGAAAATTTAAAATTATTAGTGAGCGAAGAGTGAAGCGTATGCTTTTATGGACACTATGTAGCTCTGTAGAGCACTGACAAAGCAGAGCTAAATAGGCAGCTTATTAAGGACTGGGACGTTGATTGATGGCCAGATTGGAAGATATATGGTCTCATTGAGAGGCTTCCCAACCTCATTTGCATAGGCCCAGTGGAGAGCCTGGAACTCCTGTGAATGTTTGGGTTTTCCCTGGCAACATCAGGACTCGGTTCCAGCCTGGGCATGACACTATCGCATAAAAGACCTAACTTGTACTTTGCATAATTATTTTAAGGCTCTCTTTGTCTATTACTTGTTTTTTTTATGTAAGTTGAAATGACACATGAATGAATCCAGAAAGACAATGAAGGCTGCTTTCCTAATAACATTTTACCAAAAGCAGCAATGCCAGAAATAGACATAACGCAACAGAAAAGTTAGAAAATACAGTTCATTACACAAGTTAACTCTCCTCAGGGTTGCATTATAATAATAATAATAATAATTGCTTACACTTATATAGAGCTTTTCTGGACACTCCATTCAAAGCGCTTTACAGGTAATGGGGACTCCCCTCCAACACCACCAATGTGCAGCACCAACCTGGATGATGCGACAGCAGCCATAGTGCACCAGAACGCTTACCACACATCAGCTATTAGTGGGGAGGAGAACAGAGTAATGAAGCCAATTCATAGATGAGGATTATTAGGAGGCCATGATTAGGGTTACATCCCTACTCTTTTAAATTAAAAACACCCTGTCATTTTTAATGACCACAGAGAGTCAGGACCTCAGTTTTACGTCTTATTCCAAGGCCGGCGCCATTTTATAGAATAGTGTCCCTGTCACTATACTGGGGCATTAGGACTCACATGGACTGCAGGATGAGTGCCCTTGTCGGGCCCACTAACACCTCTTCCAGCAGCAACCTTAGTTTTTCCCAGTTGCATTAGTTTTACAATGACAAAGATAATAGCGGCTTATGTAGTAATCATCATATCTTCAGCTTATTAAGTTCTGTTTCAATGTCCTGTCAATTTCCTGAGTCAGGCTATGTCAGCATGTCTAAAAACAAATGTGGTTTCTTTGGTTCACCATCTTAAGACGAACTGTCAATTTTCAAGACTAGTTTATGGTAAAGATACTCCTGATGGTGTTTTTATACCTTTATAATTTTACTTCAAAGAAAAGTTATTAAAGAAGACCTAAACTGCATAGACATATGAAAACGATCGTAAATGATGAATTAGATTAAATAATATTGGTTATGCTGCACTTAAACCAAAGTGGAGTCCAGAGCTCTCCAAGTAACAAGGTATTTATCTGTTGTTATAATACAGCTAATAAAAAATTTCCTTGCACGTCCCATGAAAAGGAATACAACCATTAATTTTCTAGATAAAATGCACATTATTTGCACTACTTATAATGGTGTGAACTCTATCTTATTAAGGTCGCATTTCAAAAGCTCACCAAAAAGTTAATTTGTGTTTCATTAATTCTAAACAATGTATTTTAATGTAATAAAATGTTAACTTTTAATGTGATCCCATTGACCCCATGGTCAGATAAAACAGTTCACTGCCTGGAGCAACAAAAGATTACTCCAATTTAGGTCAATGTGCATGCCGTGAACTCTAAAAAAATGCACTTGTGTGCCATATGCTTTGATGCTAACACAATTAATTCTAATATTAATATTAAGTTATTTTGGACTCTAAAATATTAGGCCTTTTTGAACAGCATTGAAATGGGTGAAATCATTGTAATGTTTAATTTAAGAAATGTTTGTCTGTACTATAGATAAGTACAGATTTGGTATCATATAACTATACATTTATAGCTTTCAGAGGGAATCATGTACTACTTAACAAGCTGGAAGATTATGAATACTAATACAAAAGTATATAAAGAATGATGTGTGAGAAGAACACCTTGGACACTCATTTCACCACAAAAGGGTTGTTTAATAAAAGCTGTATTTAATCACAAGTTAAAACAGCAGGAAATAAATTATGGCAAGACTTTTACTTTTATGATAAAGGTGTTCTTTTTCAATAATTGTTTCATGGATACCAATCACCTTGATCTTTTCATGGGTTATCATTAGGCAGAATGATATTATTAGAAATTATACATATTTAACTATATCCACAGCTCCTGGATAAATATATAAAGAGGATAACATCTGATGGCTGCAGAGGTCATTAAATGGATAACTGTCAAGCTCTTGTGCTGGAAAGCTGTTGTTGGACAGTATATCATTATGCAAAGGCACATCAGTGCAAGAGTTTCAAATATAAATATTGCTGTTTACAGTATCAGCAGTAAGAAGACAAGACAAAAAGTCACGGCTTTAGAAAGGTCATGGTTCTGTATTCCACAAGGATCAAATTATTTTTGTATCCCTAGTCACTGTAAGAATTTTCCTTGGCTCATCTATCCAGAATGTGGTATTATTCATTTCAAAATTAGTGTCTTCTGGTTGGTAATCAGTATTTTCACCCACTTACAGCCTTACTACTGTATTTTATATTTACAGCTCATCACACTTGCATTTAAGAAAACATATATGAAACAGATTATGCAGAGGAGAACAGAAGAACAGACTTTAAAAATAATGGTATGTTGCTATGCCTCCCTATTTTAAATGTTTTTATTTATCCTTAAGCATTTCTTTACTGAACATTTGCATAATGAAACAAACACTAATGCTTAGTGAGTGTGCCATAAAGACATCTGCTCAAATAGTGCATTGATGAAGCTTCAGTAGGCCACTGTTTGTGTGTGGTGCAAATGAGATGGTCAATTTCATCGATAAGAGTCTTCGCTAATTGAACTATGTTGTCTTTGTTAAATTCACAGACATAACCTATCAGCAACCAACGTGACTTGAGTGAAGGGCATCAATTTATCTTTTAAAAACTCTTTCAAGTCAAATAGCTTTACCTCGATTTAAGCAGCTACAGTATTTATATTCTTTTCTTTGACATTCACAAATGGAACTGAATACAAAACAAACAAGTAGATTAGTATAGTGTAACAAACTAGGAAAACCAAGTCATTCGCACATTATATTCAGTGGATCTGTTATCTGATTATGTCACTTTTCTCCAAAAGCTGTTACATAGATGTAATGCTGATATGTTGAATTTTATATTTGAACTGCCTCTTTGGTAGGCTGGTCTGTTTGGCTGATTTGTTGAGACTCACATGTAGATGCAAGGCAGCTGAACAGTACAGTGCCCAAAAAGCAAGGGCTTTATATCTGGAGCAATAATAAATCCCTGGTGAAGCAGCTAAGCCAAACTCTTCAGTATACTTTACAGACTTTCACAGTAAGTATTATTAACATGCACCTTTTTAATTTTTATTTTTAAATGAATTATACAGACAAATATGGTGTGCTAATTAATGTGTGTCCGTATCTTTACTGTGATAAGATGAGAAGGAGGGAATGAAAAATGTTTGAGAAGTTGCATTGCTTTAAACATTAATATACAGTACATACATTCCTTAAACAGTATGCATATGCTCCTTTCTGGTTGTACCAATGTTTTTAGAAAAAAGGAGAATATATTAGATATTATATTTCTGGAATAACTATCTTCTCAGTGTGTCAGTATGCATTTAAAGGGGAGCTGGACTGTAGGAGACCCGTCATCTCTTGCAGAACTCCTTCGATTTATTCCTTGCTGATTCCCAGCTCACGACGTGTAGTGTGCAAACTTTTAGACTAAACTGTATTGCATGCACCCATAGCCAATATAATATTAAGTTGTTCAAGAAAATAGACTGAAATATGTTAATCTATCTTAATGTTTTTCAATGTTCCCCAGGCTTTGCAAATAAATATGTTGTTTTTCATTTGGATGGTGATGGGGGCAGTTTGGGTATTGGAGGCAGCAGAAAGATGCCCAGATGTTTGTGAATGCTCTCAAAGAGCAAGTGTTGAACGAACGGAGGTAGACTGCCAAAAGAAAGATCTGAGATCCATCCCACCTACATTACCCCAAGATGCATGGATTCTCAAAATGGGTAAGCCTTTTGAATATGTAACACTAAATAAGGAGTAACCTTTTAATTGGGGACAAAATTCTTGAAGATGAATGTACTGAAACAAAGTTTGATATTTACTGGACATTTCTGGTACACTTTTTTGTTAAACCAAGCTTTACTTACCTAATGTTCTCATGTACCTTATTTATTATCCTATAATTCATTGTCAAAAGCTAAATATATATATATATCTCAAAGACCTTTATTTTAAAAACCATTCTTGTCACAATTGTATGTCATACTTTCAACATTACTTTTAGTTTGTACAAGTTTATACACATATGGTGTTGTTCTGTGATTTTAAGTCTGTTCTTTTTTTTGTTAAGGTGAAAATCTCTTACAAGAACTTCCAGCAAATGCCTTGAAAGCAGTTCCAAAAATTGAAAGTATAAACCTAGAACGTAATGAAATCAAATCCATTCATCCCCAAGCCTTTTTAGGAGCCAGAAATCTAATGCTGTTGAACTTGCATGGAAACCAGATTTCCAAACTCCCATTAAAAGGCTTTCAAGATCTCATCAGCCTACGTTTCCTTATAATGGGACAGAACCATATTACAACAATCAAGCCTGAAATTTTTGTTGGTCTTAGGAACTTGTCTGATTTGGATCTACCATTAAATTCTATTACATCCCTTCCTCCCAATGGATTCAGATCTCTCACTGCTTTAAAGGTTCTGGATTTGGCAGTCAACAAGATACAAAAGATTTCCCCAAAATCTTTTGTTGGTCTGGGAGAGCTCCAGTTTCTCAACCTGGATAGCAACAAAATTAAGAACATTCCCAGTGGAACCTTTAAGCCCACATCTAAGCTGGAAATGCTAGTATTAGACAATAACTTCATTAGAGCTCTAACAGCCTCAATGTTTGAGGGTCTGCCTGAGTTGCAGGAACTGTACATGAGGAATAATGAGATTAATAGACTACCTGAAGATGTGTTCAAACACATTCCTAAGATAACACAGCTTGCCTTAAGTGGAAACAGACTGAAGACTATTGATGGCAACTTACTTACTCAGCTGCCTGGTAAGAATATTTCTTTTGATCAGAGAACCTTCACACCGTTAAGCAACTTTTAAAAAGGCCTTTGCCCGATGTAAATAAATATATATTAATATTAATATGATTTAGAAACTGAATTTTATAATTGTCTATAATACTAAAACAACGGTTTCATTTAAAGGGTGCTTCAGCTCTTTTTTCATTGAAAACTAATTTCTAGTAAACATTTTAGTGGTAACTGATTGATGCATTTAATTAGTAAAAGTAATTGTTTTAAATGTAGTTTTAAGTTTAAGGCAGACATGTTTAAGTAAAATAAGCAGCACCTGCTGCAAAAACAAAACATGGTAAAACAGACTTTTCTAAAACTAGTAAAATGTATTATCATTGAAAAACAAAATGTCTTTTCAAGAACAAGGATGAGGAAGAGCATATTTCCAAATTAAGGCAGTCTAAGTGAATACTAGTTAGTCTATTGTAGACTAAAAATGTCATATCAACCTCATTTTTATTAGAACATGGTTCAATTACACAAATGAAACAGTAGTTTCACAAATAAAATCTATTGTGCTAAGAAGCAAATAAATTACCATTAATGGAACGATTAACAAAAACAGTCTATTGGACAAACACCTTAACTGAATTATTCAGTCACTAATTGCCTTAGTGATATTTAAATGAAAACGGAATCGAATAGTAGTTTAATGTGATTTTAAATTATCACAAAATAGTTCAGAAACCTGTGCATTTTAAAGGAGATATTGGGAGGAAAGAAGAAGGCAAAAAAGGTACCAATATTATGAATTAGGTATGTTTAAAAGAGAAAGTTGACCAGATTTCCATACTTTTCTTAGTTTGTGCAGCTCATAATTATGTTTGCTGTCTTTGTTTCAAGAATTCCTTGTTCACAAATCTTCTCAATTTATAAAAACTGAATTACATATGTAAAATAAACCAACCAAATATCTGATTTCTAAATGCAACAGAAAAATTAAAATACATTTTGTTGTGTACCTGCTGGAGATGATGACTTCTACTGTTCTAGGTGAGCAATGTGTTCAATATCCAGACTGACCTAGTGACCAAGGGTCTCAGTGCTTTGTGATCCTAGCCATGTGGTTATACAGTACGTCTATAACTCAGAAGCCATGTGGTTATGTGTCTAAACTCAGACTTAAGTATAATATTTTTCACTTATTTTCAAGTTAAACAGTCAGACTAACATCACCCACCTACAGTAGGTGCTGCACTTCAGTGGTTGGTCACCTATCTATGAAAGTACAGTATGCAAAAAATGCAAAGTGTTATAAGAACCTTCTTGATGGGAATTTCCATAGACATAGAAGTACTTTGCTTTAATATAAAAAATGATAATATATTGCTCATATTTTCTGAATACCCTTGGAATTAATGATGTTTGAAATGATGACATTATCACTTGTTCATTTATAGAGAGGCACAAGTAATAATAAGGTTAATTGACTACAACACAGTGTGACTAGTAAAAGAAGTTATACTTTTCATGATTTTTATTCCATAAAGCATCTCTAAAGTAAAAAAAGACTTTTAAAATCAGACTTTGTGTTTGGATTAATAATGTGGTTCCTTCTATCTTGTTTATCTTTTCAGCTCTTAAGGAAGTTTATATGCATGATAACCCCTGGGCATGTGACTGCAACATGAAGTCTTTAGTTCACTGGATGTCAAAGACAACTGTCAATCTATCACCCCTTGAAGCTCTAAAGTGCACAACTCCCTCAGAACAAAAGGACAAAACCCTCAACAAACTTCAAGTGGAAGATTTAAAGTGCAAAATTTAAAATGTGTCCCTGAAATATGTAAACTTTCCAAATCATATAACTACAGCACAGTATTTGTATTTGAGTACAAAATGAAATTTCAAAAAAGCTTTTAAGGGGTGAAAGGATAATTTAAAATGCTACAAGTTGAAATTTTGCCCCAAAACAAATGATAAAATGCACAAACGGTCAATTCAATAGATCAGTTTTATGGAATTCAATCCAGATAAACTGAGACAACTTTTTAATTGCTACAACAAACCATTGAAATTACTCATGTATTGTATGTATATAACAAATATCAAAGCAATGAAAGAGTAATTTTTAATGACTAACAAAAACAAACCACGAACCAATGAACTCATGAGTCAGATCTACTGGCTGAATGCATTCCTGAATCAGAGTTAACCTCATATTATTCCTTAATGGCAGAATAATCAATTTCTCAACAGCGAGGCATCACAGGCATTATATTTAAACCTATAGGTGATGCTATGGTACAGTTTGAGTTTCTGCTGTTAGACTTCCACTTAAGCAGAAATACACCTTGCATTGATAAGTGTAAGCAAATTTAGATCGGAAAGCAGTAGTCTTCTTTTGTATAACCAGCAGTTTCATTCACAATTTAAACAATACATTTCAGAAAAATACACTTAAATACTTGGTCACTGCAGAAATATTTATCCATCCATTATCAGAAAGCCACTTACTCTGTACTAGCTGTTGTATGTTGTTTTGCTATGTTGTGCATGATGGTTGGCTGTGACTGTCATTATTTACTGTTTTCTAATGTGCTGTGCATGAGAAAGGCAAGAATAAGAAGTCCAATGTTAATGAACATATGCAAATAAACTCCTCTGTCTCTTATTCCTGATAAGAATTGGTTAGCTGTTCATGGATACTCATTACATTTCCTGCTAGACATACCTTATGCACCTCGTGATAATGTTCCAGAGCCAAAACCCAAAGGCACATGGAGCGGCAAGCTACAGACACCAAGCCAACCTTTTCTGGGGTGAAGTCTGGATGTTTGGAATATCTGCGTAACTTCAAAAACACCTAAAACAGATTAAAATAGTAAGAAAAAAATGAACATTTCTTAATTTTATTAGAATTTCTGGACATACATATTTCTAGCTATGGTCTCAAACATCTTTCTCCTCAAACATTAAGTCTGTACCAGTGATGAGGATTATGGCATATTCATAAAAGAAGGGCTCCTCAAAAAGTAGATCACTTTTATCCTCAATCATCATAAGGCCTCCCTAGCTTCTTATATTTTATAAACCAGCAGGATTTCAATTTTTTCAAGCCATGTCTTTTAAATATGGTAGTTTAGTCATATATATTAAACCATGTCCATCATATGACTAAATTCATCTAAATTTTAGGTTTACTGACAAAATGAAAATTTGAATCTAATTCTGATTGATAAAAATATAATACCTTTCTGCAAGAAGGGGAAAATGAACTAGATATTTATGAACCAACTAACTGCACTTCTGTGGTGTCTAAACATATGGGGACACTCTTTAGAAATATACTGTATATCAAATCATCTGCATTGTAAAAACATCAATGAAGATGGCACACATTTTAAAATGTAGGACCTGCCTAAACATAGATTCAATAAACAACAATAAAGAAGCAAAGGTCCACATGAAATCTTAACCTGCAAAATAAAGAGTAGGAATCTAAGGAAATGTATGTACTGTATGTATAAGGAGCATAGTTCTGATTCCCAAGGGCTTTGATCATGCCTCCTGATGGAAGACTTTGGCTTTAGAGCCAAACAGCAACACTCCACAGAGAAGAAAAAATTCCACAACATTAAAAGACCAATCACCCCACTTTAAAAAAACAGAATTTAAAGCAATCTAAGTTCCAAGATTGTGACATCAGGTGATCTTCATTAACAGACTAATTGGCACTGAGCCCTATTATATACACAAGTATAATAGATGCTGGTCAATAACAAAAATTTACATAAGTAGTGTAGGTAGGTAGCTGCGTCAGCATGCCTAGGCTGCCAAGGAACAAGTAATAGGTTTATTCCATGCTGAAAAGAAAAGAAAGAAAACACAACGTTTCGGCTGTGGAGCGAAGTCGAGAGAGGTGAGGAGAGGTGTGAAACAAAACCGACAAATGAATATATTATCTTTGCTGACTGCCCTATCTTTCTTACACCCGAAGAAGGCTTCACAGCCAAAATGTTGCGTTTTCTTTCTTCTCTTTTCAGCATAGAATAAACCTATTACTTCTTCCAAAAAACAACATATTTATAAGCAGAGAAAAAAAATGGCCAAAATAACGCATGTGTAACAGTAAAGTTCTGTTCCTCTCTCTAAACCCCAAAATAACGCGGATTCTTGTATAACTGGTGAACCTGCTAATTCAAGGGAGAATAAAAAGTAGACAGTATAGCACACAAATTATCTGTAATAATTCACAAGGCATCCAAAAATGGCAGTTTTATGGCAAGATAAATTCAAAGTAAACAATATTAATGTAGTCTATGTAGATAATGGAATAGGATATGATAACCCTGGAAGAGGCAACCTAAGAAAAGAACTGAGATGTTTATGTTGACTTGTTAGTTGCCAGTTTAAAACAATCAGAAGAAGTGTATTTAAAATTAAGATGAGGAAGCACCTCTTTACAGAAAAGATTAGCAGAGTCCAGATCCGACATTTTCATGTTGCAGCCAATACATTTTTACAGAAATGGTCAGAAGAGATCCTTAGATCAATCACATCTGCTATGCCTTTGATTAAACAAACTGCATTGTCCCCTTTCATTTGCAAATTTTCTTATGTTTTTATAAGCAATAATGATAGTCAACAGCACATTTATACTGTTAGTGATGAAAAAGCATTGAATTCAGATCTATAAAGGTACTTTTTAAAATGTATTTAATTTATTTTGACCAGAATAATCGTGTCACACATTGAGAAGTTGAAAGAACTGTCTTCAGCCTGGATAACAAAACACGTAGTCACAAATGTCACAATCACAAACTTCACAGTCACAAAGAACAGAAATCAGGAGCCTGGACCATGACCAGATAACCTCTTCTCATTTGCAACCTTCATTCTATTACCTTCTCAGACAAGCTGTCCTTGTCAAGTGTAACAAGTCGCTTAAGGAATCCTGGGTCTCCCAGCAGCTGCTTTGCTGTGCTCCAGTCAGGTTTCTGCTGTAGCAGTATACAAACTGCATGCATTACAGTTAATACCAGATCGGGGGGGTTTGTGTAGACTCTGGGTAAAGAAAGTACATACAGTATATCGCACTGTGGCAGAAACTACCTTCTTAACTGAAAATAGACAATGAATTGTTGTATGCATGCATTCTTCAGATTTCACTGTCTGCCATTCATTCTGATGACAGTACATTTGATACGATTAACAGCATGAATGTTGTTTTAATATTAATAAACCAATCACTATTAATTGAAACTCATCACCATGTGAATATTATGTGAGGGTAAGAAGTACAGTAATTGAAATAATCACAGCTTGTCAGTAGAACATGCCAAAGACTAATCACAGACAGAAAATTGACACATTGAGTCACAGTTGGTTCAGCATTAATTAGTGCGATACATATTTTAATAATGTTTAATTAGAAACAAGATGTCAAAGCAGCTCATTATTTAAGAAATCCTATTGATCTGTTGTCTTAAATATTACCCAAATGTTTGAACTTTATACATTTAGTGTAAACAGACTGTCTGTATGTATAAAGTTTATGGTAAAACTAGTAAAAACTTCTCCATATCATCTGTGGTAGTCTTTCAGTTCTAAACGACTTAAATGGTACATAAATTCTTGCAGTGAGAAAAATATCCAAATGATCAGTCCACTTCAACATTCCACATGTCGCTTTCAAGCAGAAGATCTACATATCTCATAACGATGCTATACAGCTCTGACAAACTCACCTGATTTCGGAGATGTCCGATTTTTCCAGGGCATCCAGAGCGGAGATTGCCTTTTGCAGCAGAGGCAGTGCTGCATTTAAATCAGCGGCAGCTTGCTATACAACAAACAGACCTTCTTGTTTGTTTCAGTTGTACAAAAAGGAAATTTTATTTAGGAATTACATTACACATTATATATTGACTTCCAGTCTTATAACCCTTAATACATAAATTAACACATCATTATAATGACTGAATTATGGAAGTGTGATTTGCTAATTGTTATAATTAATGTTTTTATATGCTTTTTTAGCTATTTGAATTCAGCATAATACTGAATCACATTTGTATGTTCTACAAGACGTATTACAATGTTACATTTATAAAAATTCTCATCATAAAAAAAATGATGCCATTAAGAAGAAAAAATATTATTAGGGTAGTACTGGATGGCTAGACTGTTAAGGCTTATTATGTTGTATGAATATCCAGGTCGGAAAAAACATCACCTCGGCATATTCCTGAACAATGCTGGTTTCTTCTCCCATAATTTTTTCTTCCATTTTCACAATCGCCCGGACCTGCTCCACTGCCTCGGAATCTTTTTGCAGTTTTTCCATCAGGATTTCTATATCCTGTTAGGAAAGTACAAAGTGTTTGATTAGTCCTGGGTAACAGGACTGTACAGTACTTGCACTCTGTCATCTTAAAAGAGTATGATTTTTGTATACATGTTTTTTTATAAATTGTTCTGACTCCTTTGTTAAAAGTACTATATTATTTCTGTTTTGTAACTTGAGAACAAACAGTACAAGATAAAACAATAAAAAGATCAAATGAAAAAAGCTAATTGGATTTGTTAGAATTTTAATTTGCATTTGGAAAAATACACTTTTCTTCTTAGATTATTATTAAATATAAAACAGATCCTTACATTTAAAACACTTTACTTGCTTATAGCTCCATAGTAAGCATTTTTAATATAAGGCCGAGAATGTATATTTTGATTTTTAAAAATTTTATAAGAACCCACTATTATAAACTAATAATAATTTAGTTTTCTTGAGATAAAATGGAAGCCAGGGTAATTTAAATGAAATCTACTCCCTGATAATGGGGAAAAATATAGCATACATTTATTTGAATATGCAATATGGTATCCTATGAAATAGATTTTATATGTGAAATAAAAGCAAACAATTAAATATTTATTCTCCTGATCTGTTCGCTGTGAAGTAAACAGTGACACTCACCTTAGACATTTCTTCAATTTTTGGGCCCAATGACACCAGCTCATCTTGCATTACCCTGACCAATGATGTTGCCTCGGATAACTTGGACAACCCATTGTTAAACCGATCCCTGTTTGAACACAAGGAATTTCATGGGTCTATACAGGAAAATTTGTATTTGAATTGCAAAATGTAATTGTAATAAAATAGACTTTGTATAGTTTATAGTACTAGGCTTTAAATAATTGCAAGTTTGTATTAAGCAGGACTTTCTTTGAGAGAATGAATAGAGAAATATGCACAGGAATAATGTAATTTGCCTCCACACTGTACAGTTAATGAAAAATCCAATTGTCTTTACATTTCAATACATATGGGCACTGATACATCCATGAGGAAGGTTTTTTTTCTTTATTGCTTCCATTCAACCACTCACAATAAGTAATAGCTGCTTTGCTGGGAACAAACACAGTTCTGGGCTAATACCCCATCCATTATGGAGTCACAATTTATTAGTCCTATAAAATCCAGGATAAAATCCTGGCTATGGACTTCTACTTTTCATAAAGTGGTAGTTTTTCAAATCAATACTGTCACTCCAGCAAAATACAGTCAAGACTCAAAATACCTGTAAGGAATACTTGAACTGTATAATGTACATTTAGCATTAAATATTTGTCTGTGTCAAATCAACAATTCAATCAGGCAATCAGATCCATTTTGTGTTTTTAACGCATTTTAAATAAGTCTTGTCTTGTTTTTTATCATTTTAATATGAGCTTAAGGATTTCAGTGTTGAAAACAAATACATTTGGTTACAGACCTTACGCCCTGAATTTTCTTTTTTTGGAGATGAGTCATTTTGGAGAATGTATCTAGGAACTCCAGAAAGCTGCTTGGCGTTATGTAATAAGACCTCCTCATTTCATTCCAGTACTGCACAGCTGTCAGAGATACACTGTAGTGGACATCCACACAGACTTGAGCAACATTAGCATGCAGAACCTGAAAAGGCAGGGAGACCTTGAATTTACAACAGGAATGCACATACCAATCTGGTTTTCTGGAGTAAAAAAATAATTAAAAATACCTTAATGGTATGAGTAGGTAGGTAGGTAGGTCCCCTTTTCAGGCTCTAAAGGCCCATGGGGGAATGGGGGGCTAGGGCCACCATTTTCTTGACCATCTGACACTGGAGGTGGAGGTGATGTGGTCAGAATCACACACCGGCCAGCCTATTACCCCCAGATGGATTAACACCCTGTACTCATTTGGAAAGCAGGCTGAATGGTATGAGTACTGACTTTAATTTAAAAAAGGACTGGAGATAAGACTTACCTTAGGTAACCTGAGGTTTTATACCAACTTGTTTTCTAACAGAAGGGTCAACATGGAAAAGTACCTGGAGGGACGCTTAATAGAGGGCATGTAATTCTACAAAGGAATTGTTTTTATTGCACCGTTAGATTAATTGACTAGGTGAATATGGAGATCTGAGATGGATCTTTAAACATGATGGGCCATATTAAATTATCCTACAAGGCCTATTTATTATACCTTGAGTTCTTTTTCTTCAAACTCCATAGAGTCAATGAAGATGTCTGCAACCCTGAGTAAGGCTTCTTTTGTCCATTCGCTGTACCAGTCAATAGTGCAGCAGCTGAGCAGAGCTGGGTGCGTGCGGGAGTGCTGGCGTAGAGACGACCCCACAGGGCTGCATGCCAAAACAATGTGAAGCCTCTGATGCACTTGCTGAAATAGTTGTTTTAAATACTCATTATTCATAGCAAACACTGCACAGCAACAACATGGTACACCCAGATAAAGAAATTAATAACTGGACAGGACACCTTCTGATGTTTGTCACATTACGATGCCATTTTCTCTTGCCTCTGTCCATTATGCTAGCAATCAGTATTGGGCATGATAAAATATTTGCTGTTAAAATGATGTTGACAGAATTGAAGAAATTTAAGACACTTGAAGTAAGTCTGCCCTTAACCTTATGCTTTTGGGATAGTATCTAGATGCAGTTAGGTTGCTGCAACCCTCAATTAAAAAAGAAGCTTTCTTAGTAACCTACTAAGTTAACTAAAAAAGAAATTGGGATGATACTTATATGCAAAAATATTGTTGGGTATCTCAGTTTTGTTATACTTTGTAAAGGACTGGACAAGTCCACAGAATTTAACAAATTTTCATATCTCTTACTTGAAAGACTGCTTTTGCCTACAACCTGACAGATATCCTGTAAAAGCCATACCTTTAAGAATAATGAATACATTTCTTCTCTGCTGTCCTCCTTATTGTAATTGAGAGATCTTTCTATAACAGATTTCAGCTCAACTGCAATACCATCAATCTCTTCCTTGTCAAACAAGCCTGGAACCTCACCAGAGTTCAGAATGCAGTTTATGTCTTCAAGGAAAGAATCCTTTGGAGATACAGTAATAATATTAATTTGACAGATAGTTGCAAACATCAAACAAAACAAAAAGTCTTAAGATAGGGAGGCACAATTAGTGTTAGGAATGTTTGATATGAAACATTTCAAACTTGGGAATATCTTATATACCAGCAGATCAGTCTTTCTAAAAAAATTTCAGAATGGAACTGGTACTTGAAAGCTTCTATATGACAGAAAATATTCATGTAAAAAGTATAACACTAATTCATTGATCAATTGTGACTTTTCTTAAGGGATTTAAGACAGATGAGTGCTATTTAACTAAATGCTTGCGCTTATGTCATGCTCCTTGTAGGTAGGTGTTTCTAATTGAAACTTGTATTAAATCTGAAAAACAGAGCACAATACTTCTGTTAATATGCCACAGGATATAAAACTACATTGTCAAAACCACTAATAATTAAAAGACTCTTTTCTGCTTTATTATTCATAATTTACCCATACCTTAATTATATCTGAATCTTTGATGAGAAGCACAGTGTTTGTTCTGTTAAGTCCTGTTTGTCTGTAGACCTTTTTTAGATCTTCACAAAAGTCAGAATGGCTATAGGTGCGAGATACTGGCAGCCTGTACAGCTGGCAGCCTGAAATGTAGCAAGCCAAGGATGCACAGGTAGCCTTTCCTGTGCCATCTAGCCCAATCTGAGCAGAGAAGAAAGTAAAAAGTCAATGCTGAGATAATTATCATTAAATAATTGATTACAAATATAAATCCCAATGGACCACCACACTGACACTGTGCATAAAAACGTCCAATTAAATTTAAAAATAATTAATCACCAAAAATCAGAATATATTCCTTCTGTTTGAACAATTGGCCAAATACTTATTTTTTAAAGATAAATAAGAATCACAGTCTTTAATTATCCCACAAGACAAAAAATAAAGACAAGCAATCCACCATTTGATTCAATCTTATCTGATGCCGGTAGCATATAGACAAGAACATAAGGAAGGTTATGAATGAGAAGTGGCTTCTGGTCCATTTAGCCTGATTGCCAGTTAGTTGCTGAAAGAAGCCAGGGTTCTGGCTTCCTCAACATGGCTTGGGCAGCTTGTTCCATACTGCCAAAAACCTTTGCCTAAACAAGTGCCTTTTTTCCCCTTGTGTCTGCTCCATTTTTTGCTGTTTTATTTGAAGAGGGGGTTGAATTTGGGGCTGAATTTGTCAATGATAAAGAATGATACTGGTTTTGACAAAGGTTTCTCTGTACCAGCATCATATGTCCTCCTGGTTGTCTGAACACTCTGGCAGCTCTTGTGATGTGCTCCACAGCTTCCTTGAAGAACACCATAGGAGACTGTACATAAGAGGAATTAAATGTTAGCACCTTTAAAAGTTAATTTATATATACCCTGTACTGAGCAGAGACTAGAAAGCTTAAGATCTGTCATATAGTGAAAAACATATCATTACTTATAATTCTGCCTTTAATTCAAAGGATGCAAATAATAGTATACACTACAATGAGTTTAATCAATAAAGCATTCACAGTATGACATGTTATCTGAATAGATGTACAATAGCAGGCATTAATTTCAGTTAAAGGATATTGCTGTCCCTCTTGATGTTTCACAAAATCATTATCTTATTTAATATGTTGCAGATCCTCCCATTTTCCCAAATGTAATCAATGCAACTGTGTAAGAGAAACCAGAGAAGACTAAAGCTCAAACAAAATGATTAATAAACAGAAATACTTTAAAACTCCAAGTGATTCATAGTAAAAGAAAATATTACAATGAATACTGACATACTTAATTTTATTACACTGCTCCTTCAGACTGAAAACCTATTATAAGAATGGTTATAACATAGCAGTACTTCAAATGACAGACTAGACGTAAAAAATTACAATAAAGATATTTTAGTCCCAGACTTCTGTTTTGGTAGTTTTGTAGCTGTACGTGTGTGGCTGATGTACCCACTCATTTTCCCTCTCTCATATTTGAATCAAATTTAATGAGTACTGAGTATATTAGGGCTTAATGTTTTGCTATGCCATTTCCTAAATTTGGTGGTGCCTAGTGCTAACAGATAATTCAGGGCATAAGACGAAATGTAAATCATTGGAATCATTTAACCCCAACTACCCTTAAATTGGGGCCCTTAACCCAACTAATCCAGAAGTGCCATATAAATGGCTGACCCTGCGCTCTGACCCCAAGCTTCTCTCTTCCCGTCTGTGTGCCTGTGTGTCTCATGGAGAGCAAGCTGGGGTATGTGAAAAAAACAAATTGCAAATGCAAGAAATTGTATGGCTAAGAAGAAAATGAAAAGCTTTTGTGGAACGCTTGATAAGTCTTTGTCTTGAGAGAGCTATTTTTCATCTAACTCTTAATAGCAAAGCTGAGATTTGAAGTTGATCACCCATCCTAGAATTTGCTTATCTTACATTTCATTCTTCTTGTAGCCTAAATTTGCCTTGAGTGTGTATTTGACCTGGCTACTGTATGTTGTACAAGAAATAAAGTATACTGTCAAAAAGTATTTCAGCATTATATAGCCATGTTCAAAATCTAAATGATTTGTAAATGTGGCATTATATAAAGTATTCTTACAAATTAGGAGACATAATCTGCTTAAAAATCAGCAATTAATATTTAGGTTGAGATGTGTTACTTGAAACTTCTGTAAAACGTCTAGACGCTAATAAACACATACTGTATGCATCTCTCACTTTACATATACATGTGCATTTATGTACGGTACATAGTACTTACAGAAATTGAGAGAGGGAAATACTGTATATATACAGAGTGGGAAAATCTGAGAGTTGAATGAGAGAGGGATTCCTAAATACAATTTAAATAACAATGACTATTTCTGAATATGCCACTTTATGTCTTGTACTGTACATCTGGTTTTACCTACCTTACAGTGATCAATTTTTCCTTTACCTTTTCAGATACCAGAATAAGACACATTTACCCTGCCAGTATGTTCTTTATAAATACCTGTGAACTTCTATTGCCACTTCTGATATCATATTCTTCTAAGACTGCCTGTAGCTTCTTATGATCCGCAATGTTTTTGTATTTTCTAAATGGTACTGGGATGTTCATGTCTAGAAAATCTCCAAATGTAATTGGTTCCTTCATCAGCTTTTCAGCTGGCCAAGAGACCTTAAAAATGTAAAAAAGGGACACTTATTTATATTCACTAACATTTATAATACACTTTTTATTCTGGAACTTTAAAATCTAAAGTTATAGCTTGTTATACTGTATTTCTTAAACAACTTGAATTTAAGTTTTTATGTTGATCTTGAATTACTGAATAGTTTTGTACTGGAACTTCACGATAAATCATTCTAATCTCATTGGATGTTCCAGAAGAAAACTGCAACTTCTTCATGTAAACTTCATGCAGTTAACTTACTATAATGGTAGAAGTCATTTCTTCACCCTTAAAAGTTTGTTCATAAATCTCATACCTCAGTAGAAATTCTTAAAATTAATGCAATTCAACAATATACCTTGTAAGAGGACCCGGGGAAGGGTCATCTCTAACAGGTATTTCCGGAACGAAACACTGATTACGGACACTGGTTAAGGATACATCGCGGACTGGCTTTATTACGGACTTTTGGAAATCGGATCGGATCAGGACTAAGGGAACGGATTGCGGACTGTATTCGGAAGACAGTTGGAGGAAGAAACGCCACGGATCTCAGGAAAGGAAAGTGTGGTGTGAGTACTACCGTCATTTACATAAACTCTCCCCCGGAGACACCACAACCTGTAGACTTGTCTTGCCATTTTAATATCCTAAACCTAGTGAGTAAAGAAAACCAACATCTGTGCATCAGACTTCAGCATTAAAAAATATTTAAGTGCATTGATAAACTGATGAATTGATATAGCTACTTCAGCTACTTTTATCTGATATTTGTTTTCACTTTTTCAGTGTACTGTATATCTAAAAATGTAACAAATACTGTTGCAAAACTGTGAATATGTGCACTGTATCTTCTCATAATGATTTACTTGGATGGTTTAATATGGGCTTAACTGTCACTTATCATTTGCAATAATTCTTATGTGATATCTTGAATGAATAAGTGTTTAAGATTTTTTAAAGATATACGGTACTATTGACACACAACTAAACTGTCTAATTTATTAAACGTATTAAGTATTTGTCTGCAATTCTGTGCCAACAACAATGTAATGCAGTTTATTTAGAAAATTCACTGTTATTTGCACACATTTTCAAGAGTCATTAGATCTTCAAATCTCCAAAAGACATCAGTGTTGGGTTGTAGTCTGTTTAGAAGCTGACTCCTTTAACACTATCTGTAGTGAAGCAGTGTGTTGATACAGTATGTGCAGGTATAAAATAAACAAGTAGATGTGAAATAGGACAGAATAAACTGGCTAACTGCCAATGTACAGTATTATAAAATCCTATAAATAACTGAATATTTTGTGAAATGTACATAGGTACATATGTTTTAAGCACAATTTTAGTTAAGAAGGTTTATAGTTTGATAGTGGTTAGCAGGTGTTTGGATAGATTATTTTTCATGAAATAATTTGATTAAATGTTTGTTACTGAACATACTGTAATCTATAGTGAAATGAAGATCAGAGCATTCTAAATGTCATGGAGGCTAGATAGTTATCACAACCTGTTAAATATTTAATAGCATATTCTGTGGAAATCTACAGTTCACCAGTGAAACTACACAGATTTTCTCTAAAAAACAATGCACAATGTCTCTGATTTGTAAACTGAACATTTTATGAGTTTGCAAGCCTTCAGGTATATGCATTAATTTTACATGATCTATGTTAATTACTTTAAATATACAGTATACCGTTTGATTCTATCCCATTTCTATCTTTATCAACCAGATACAGTATGCTGTTAGAAGAACCTAGACTGCCACTATGCCCCTCTAAATTTAAATTTTTGTTACCCTCTTTGTTATCCATCAGATATTATAAGGGAAACAATGAGATGAACACTAATGCTTGTAATACCATCATTATCCATCATGCACACTGAAACTGCACATAGAGCATTTCATTTCTGAAATATCTAGATCTTGGAAATACTGTATATTTAAGGTAAAAATAATATTAAGTAAAGAAAAAAATTCAACATACAGTATATAGGTTAAATAACACTGGACCTTCATATGTTGTCAAGTATATATGTACAGTATATATAAAGCACATATATATATATAAGATGAAGAATTACCTTAAAGTGGTTACGCAGTTCATTGGATAAAATCCTATGAAACTGTTCTCTGTCTTGATTATTCACCAGACGATCATGGAACACACGAGTGACCTCATGTGCAAACAGCAGGGCAACAGCCTCATTGGACACCAACTCTGACTCATGGGCTTGTTGCAAACCCTGAATGACCTGGAAAGACCAAATAACAACGTGAGATGCTACAGAAATAAGCGGTAGAATTAACATTATCCTTGCATTTAAAAAAAATAAAATAGTCACAAAACTTTAAACAGAATTTAAATGGTGAATAAATACAATGAATACAAGGTAAAAGTTTAAATTCTCATTCAGGAAAGATATTAAAGCTTACTGGGAGGCCTGGATTGATCCTGACTGTAAAAATCAATGTACTGAAATAATGAAAAGGAGTTTTTATGTAACTAAAAGACAATTTGAGAATCAGAAATAATCAATGTGACCCTCAGGATAAAGTGATAAGCTGTATAGAACACCAAATTAAAAAGGAGCATTCCAGATCTTAAAATGTTCACTATATTAAGTTAACCTTTTGTTACTATACAAAGTTAACTAAAGACACAATTTTTAAAAATTTCTGTAGAACATATTCATCTGCCTAAGAGTACAGCAATGCACTCATTTAGAAAAAGGGACAAAACGTATACATTTAATACATTTTGTTATTTTACTTTTTATACGTACAATGATCTAAAACAATGGGCCTGAAGCACAATCTGGCTTACCTTTGACAGGTCTCTCAGGTTGAATGTATAGTGATATTTGGCTGGAGTGGGTAGCATGTTTTGACACATCTCATAATAGATGGCAATAGAAGCAGATACTAGTGGAGCTCTGCATTTCTGGACCTCAGCTATAAAATCTCGGCTTCCCAGGAATCTTCCAAGCTGGACCTGTTAAAGATGATGAGTCAGTTTTAGAGAAGGGATTCTAGATGCATGAACATTAAAAAAAATGTAATAGTTTACTTTGTAATGCATTAATGAACATCACCATTCTAAGCCTAAGGAATAGTAATTAATCCACGGATCTGTATTAAACAAACAGAATTTATATTGCTGAGCGCACATCAAGGCATGCACATTAGTAGCGTCATGTGCCTCCAAGACCACAGTAGACGGCAACATTACCTGGAAAATATGCTGCAGTGACTGTTCAGATGGATGTGGAAGAACAAACACAGAGAAATGTCTCAGAAGACGTGTGCTGATTCCATTCCGCCCACCGTGAGGAGGTGCACATGCTGCAAATAATGTGACATCCTGGATGCTCTTGAAAACAAAAGAGATTTAAAAATAGAAGGAGGGTGCTTCTTAGAGATTGAATTTACATTCAATGATCTAAAACAGTGGTTCTCAACCTTGTACCTGGAATACCTCTGGGTGTTTTGTTCCATTTCACCTACAGTCTGAAACCTGGATGAGGGCAGGCCTGAAACTTACTAATTAGCAAAGTGGTCATAGCAATTACAAATCACATTCTGGTTTTGAAGAGATGAAAGCAAATTTAAAAATGCCTTAAACAGAAAATTGAAATAAATAAGACTGTGATTAAGAACTCAGCTGTAACACAAATCTGAAGACACACGTCAGAACTACTAACGTAATACCAAGACCAATGATATCAGTAGGCAGATGGCTAAAAATGACAGATAACCTAGTGAATTATGGTATTCAAAGCAGGTTGCTACCTTATTTAAACACACACATATATATAAAAATTCAAGAGTAATTTATGTTATGTAATGTTTTTTTTTACAGTTTTGTTACTCATAATAAAAAGATATTCCTGCTCTGGAATCAGTCCAGAGAAAAGAAGCAAAACAGTATAACAGGAGTAAAGTATTTTCTGGTGCTTAAAGCAAAATCCTGTGCTGTCAGACTGAAGGAAGTGACCCTTTTTGTCTTGAAAAGAGAAGACTACAAGGGGACCTGAGCAAGTAAACATTTTCAGAATAAACAGTGAATAAACACACACCAGAGGACATAAATGCAAACTACAGTATGTGGAAGTGAATTTAAAACTAAGAACAGATGGCAAATGGTTTGGGAGAATGGAAGGAGCTACCTTGCACAGTACTTGAAGCTGGTACTGTGGTTTCTACTAAGAAATGGATGGATGAGATCCTTGAATAAATTAACTACTAACAACCAACAAGGCTAGCCTATTTTTGTTGAAACTTTTCTTATGGTCTTAAAAAATATAAACAAACTTATTTTTGAGAAATGATTTAACAAGAAAATAGAAATGTCAGATGTAAGTCTTACAATCAGTCAGCCATATGCTGACATCTGAAATATTAGATAAATGCATTACCTTCCAGGCAAGTGTTTTGGTATCAAAGAGTCCTCGAAGCTCCAGAAATTGTAAAATAAGCTCCAGTGGAGGCTGAGCTCCATACTCATCTGGGGTTGGCATGTTCAGATCATCTACAAAGATCAAAGCCTTGAAAGAAAATAATCAGATTTATTCAGAAATATGAATTGGCACCAATTATCATGAAATGCTGTCAACTTATTAAAAATAAAATACAATGGAATTGGAAAGTTTTCCTACAAGAAAGAAAGAGGGATTTATATACTGCATATCACATTGTGACAACAGTGAACTGTAGAAAAAATACATATTTAGAAGAAGATTAACTTATTAACATTTTTTCTAGATGTTATGTGGCAAGGAATGGGCTCAAGGCAAGATACTGTACCCTCCTGAATGGAAGAACAGTTCATCACAGAATACATACAGACACTCATACCAGAGCCAATTTTTCCCAGAAGCCAATTAACCTGACAGTATGTATTTAGACTGTGGGAAGAAACCCAGCAAAAAAAAACACAGACTCAGGGAGAACATACAAACTCAACACAGATAGCACTCCAGGTCTGGAATTGCATCTTATCTGTGAAGCAGCAATGGTAACAAATGTGCCACCCTATACAGAGGTCTTCAATGAAAAAAAAGCTTCAGATATAAGCTTAAAAAAATATGTTTGATTTATTAACACACATCAAAAAAGGTTTAATATTAATTTCTTACTCTTTTGTTTGTGGGAGCTCCGAGAGTGTCTTTGCCCTTCCTGACAAGTTTCTTTAAGATGTGAGCCTGTAACTGGGTGGTGCTGCTGCGAGCAGTACACTGCATAATGAAAGCAGTTATGCCAGAGCGCCGAGCGTCTTCATAAGGATTCCCCCTCACACTTCTTATCCTAATGAGCTCCTCGATAGATGTGCTTCTCAACATAGCATCTGAAGGTACCATCACAAAAACAGAAAAAAAACAAAACTTGCAAACACCAAAGTAAATATCTTAATTTTATTTGATGAGTGGACAGAAATCTTTAAAAATATACTTTTCTTTTATTGTTCTTGTAATTTACCATAGCCCAGGGTTTGAAAAAAAAAACTAACTACTGAGCTAACTACTCACACGAGCACATACAGTAACCTAAGATATTACAAAAAAAAAAACAAACACACAATTTATTTTTTTTAAACAAGGAGCAGCCCTGTTCACTGTCGCAACAACATCCAAGGTTTTAAAGCTTTGTAAGGATAGCCTCCTGGCCATAAGATGAGGAGGCTTGAACCCGATTCTGACAGAGTTAATCAAGTGGTCATTGTAATCCCTCCTGAACTTCAGTTAATAACTTCCATATAGTGGCCTGCTCTCTACAAAATGTTTCTGTAATGTCTTTTTTTTCCCCCATCTCTACCAGGGTAACCTTGATCATCGTCAGATCTCCTATGGCTTACCTTTTTTTGCATCGTCCAGAAAGCCAGCAGTCAGTGAATTAACATCCTCCAGCAAACTGTTACAAACATAAACATGAAAACATGCTTCAGAAGTAAAAAAAAAAAATATTCTGTAACTTTGTGAGATACAGTATAATTTAATAAGAGGCAGTATGGCGGTGCAGTGGTGAGCATTGCCACCTGGGTTCAATTCCGGACCTGGGATGCCACTGTGTACAGTTTGTATGTTCTCCCTGGGTTTCCTTTGGGTGCTCTGGTTTCTTCTTACAGTTCAAAGACATAGTGGTAGGTTAAGTGACTTCTGGAAAGTGAGTGTGCGTTTGTGTCAGTGTGTGCCCTTTAATGGACTGGTATCCCATCTAAGGTGTATCCTGCCTTGGGCATGCTTCTTGGTGAGAAGGCTCCAACTCCCCTGTGACCCTGACTTGGATAAAGCTGTTAGAAATAGATGGATAACTTAATACATTCTAAATATGTTTTCAAATCTTAAGTCATAGGGATCATAAAATGCATATGCAAATATGGTATGGATTGGCAAAAAGAATGCAATGGACCAAAGAGATAATTCTCCATTTAACCTGTAAAGGAATAGTATTTGATTGCTGTTTATACTGTGTTTATGTACATATACACCAAATTAGTCAGATATTCCATTGGATAAATATCTGGAGACTGCGAACAAATTAATATTATTCATACCAGGTTGAAGTAGGAAATTTTGAGGAACCCATGAAGTGGGCGGAAGAGCATTATGAGGAAGATTTAATGGATTATACTAAGAATGTGCAGTGAGTTACATTTGACAAACTCCTAGTTGGGATTAAGTTTCCCCATGTCATTAGTCTAGTTGGAATAGCAAACACCTTACTAAACATTCCATGTTTCCTCTTGAAAAATATTGCTATACAATAGAAAGAACCGAAAAATCAGAAAACAACCCTGAGCCAAACCTTTTGACTTAATTCCATGCTGATAAGTACAAACTTATACTGGCCTGTGATGTTGAATCATAACCAATTTATGAGAACCTTCATGTGATGCTTTATTTATTTTTATCACAAGTTTTGAATTATGATAATGAAAGGCCTACAAAATTAATTAAAAAAAACGTAAATGCTAGGTGAACTGGGAACAAAATCCAATAAAACTAAATAAAAGCTTCTGCAGTAGTAAATAAATATGAATGAAGTTTTGATCTATGGTTCACAAACAGTTGGAATTAATTATTCTCCATATACTGTGCATGTATATATACTGTATGCATACAGAAAACATTTTAGGATGAAAGAGGAAAGTAATCTGAAGGAAACAATTTAAATAAATTAAAATACAATGAAAGTTGGTAAACAAAAACTTTGAAGCATAAAAGGCAGTGATACAAATACATTTTTAAAAGCAAAGTTAAAAAAGGTTTTGATAAAGTATTATCTTTCCATGTTATCCACAGTATTATTCATAACTAATGTTGTCTAACTTAAATGTTCAGAGAATTTTATTTTACGTGGTTTTGTTTCTTGTTCTTTCTATTGCATTTTAGTAAAGTCAGCTAAAATAACATGGTACAAAAAGTTAACATTGGGGTTATTTTAAAGGACATTAAATACAGTAGGAACTAAAGTCTAATTCAACTTCCTTTAATGAGGGAGTTGAAGTTTGGATTCAATGGTATTACTATGCAATGCATTTTGTCCTTATAAGCTAAATCACACAGCTTTTTTATTACTTTTGCTAACATATTTCACAATGGTATTCTCAATTCTTTCTAATAGATAAATCTGAAAGGTTTTATAAGATTAATTGTGCAGTTTACAGAATGTTCCACAGGAAAGCTTAAAGAAACTTCTGTAAAAACTGACATAGAAACAGCTGTCATCAAGAGTACAAAACCAAAGTTTTTTTTGCTTAAGTTTCATGTTCATACCACTTACTTTTAAAACATTTTAATACTTGGTTGGAATTTAAACTACAGATAAGTATTAAAATCTAACATTGAATGGGCCATTCACATAACCTTATGTGCCAAGCCTTTCACATAACCTTAAGAATGAACCTTACTTATGTGAGGAAACAGAACTTTGAAAAACAATTAATTCAATAAAATATTTCTGCAGCAATGTATGTAAAGTACTTAACCCCTCCTGAGCACAATGAGAGAGCAATGTGAGGAAGGCGATACAGTTAGCTCCAGATCTATTCAGGCTGTTTTAGTAAAAACAATGCAAGTGCAGATTCTGTATTTGTCAAATTACAGAATGGAAACACGGACAGGTGTAATACTACAATATAAGTACTTTATATAGCAAAACTTTTCAAAAGCATTTTCATATGTAAATCCATACATTTTCTAACTACTTTTTCCAATTCGGGGTTGTGCTGGAGCCAGAGTCTTTCCTGACAAGCAATTGCCACAAGACAGAGTACACCTACTATAAATGGGATGCCGGTTCATTTCAGGGCAAACACAGACACATAGAAACTCATACCTAAGGAAAATTTTCCCAGAAGCCAATTAACTTAACCAATATGGTTTTGGACTGTGGGGGGAAACCGGAGTACCTGTAGGAAATTCACATGAACACAGGGCTAACATACTGATTCAACACAGATAAGACCCCATATTGGGAATTGAGCCCAGATCCCCAGTACAGCAAGGCAGAAATGCTAACTACTGCACCACTGTGCCACCCTGCTGTGAAACTATGAAAAATAAATGCTTTAATAATTCACTTTATGGTCATCTTTAGTTTCTCACAGCTCCTGGTAATCATCATGGGTAGAAAAGGCAATGCTGCACAGAAACAAAATACTCTTTTCCACATCTTCATGTGGAAAGTCAGGGAGATGGGTGAAGATCTGACATTAAAACAAAGCTGAAGTTAAAGTCAAATAGGATGGCTTCTTGTCTTCCAAAAAGAGGAAGAAAGGAACTTTTATCCAACACATAGTCAGAAAAGTGGTTTTAGACAAACATTAAAGGAGATAAATCGGGAACCTCCAAAAAACCTATGGCATCAACAGGACACAGCATTTCCAGACCGCTATTTGAAGCTGATCTCATGGATCACAGGTTTGTGGCAGAGATCCATGGCAAACCCCAAGTCAATCAGGATGATACGAAATGTTTAATAAAACAAATTGTTTTTGGTTATGTACATTAACCTATTTA